AGCACCGCGTACGGAACTCACCCAGGACCGATGGATGAGAGCGTTGGCGCAATCTCTCAGGCACAGCACAGGAACCAGGACCAGGGACAGCGCCCACCACGCGACAAGAAGAACGACACTTGCAACAACTGTGGCAAAACGGGCCACTGGGCTAGAGATTGCCGACAGCCCAAGAAGCAGGGACAGGGAAGACCTCCGAACGACAGGAGGGCACGCTTCAACGATTTCCAGGCCATTGGAATGGTGCTGGAAGACATCGACGATTCTCAGACCATTGGAATGGTGCTGGAAGACATCGACGATTCTCAGACCATTGGAATGGTGCTGGAAGATATCGACGAGGAAAAGAGTCTGCCGGACTACGGAACAGCGGCACTTGCCCACGAACTCGCGGAAGCCTGGGGACCGGAAGTCCCGCAGGTCCCGGAGCCGACTGAAGGAAGGAGCGACCGCGGAACCGGATCGGAAGACGAACCTGAGACCGAATCAGAAAACGAGGAGGGTCCAGGTCAACGAACCTTCAGCTCACGCATCGAGGAAAGACTGGCCGGACAAGCGGCCACTCGGCAAGAGATCAAGGGCATCAGGCACTTCCTCGGGAAACTGAAGGAGAGACAAGACCAGATGGTCACGCTGATCGACAGCGGCAGGCAGTCGTCGCAGGGGCGACAGCTCGCCTTTGACGAACTGACCAGAGTCACCCTTCAGAAAACTGAGCTCTTGGAGCAGCTCAATATCGAGACTGAAGAATTTGAGGACGAGCCAGCACCGCCTGAGAGCTGGATTAACCCAGAAGAACGGGAAGAAGTCTGGTGTAACCAGAGGGCCCTCGAGGATACCAGAATCGGGGAAGCATTCCTGGACCTCGCCGATATCGAGGAAGCCGAAGAAGATGAAGAACCCGGAGACGCACACCAGCTACACCCCACGCATCCTGAACACCAGGAAGTGGACTGGGCGAGCTGTGTTCACGATGCTTGCCGGACACATCTTTCGCCAAAATGGCTCTACAACCACTTCCCAGCCAGGAGGTCGGGACAGGCGATTCCCAGGGTATACCGACATATACCTACCTGGCATACACGGGTCGGCACGGCTACGAAAGACCATCAGGGGGAGGCGGAAATCGTGATCGAACCCCTCTCGCCTAAACCTTGCCGAGAAGGCAAAACCAACTGGAGGACTTGTCAACAGGCAGGCTGCCAAATTCACCAGAGGCAGAAGCTTGAGGACTGGCACAGAAAGAAGACCCAGCACCTCACCCACTCCAGAAACAGGAGGCTCAACAGGGCGCACCGTTCGTGGCCTTCGGTTGAGTACCGCCTAGAGGCAGAGACGATGAGGAGGATCGAGCCAGAAGAATCCGCCTACCGGAGCCGCGACGAACGGCTCGTTAGGTTCCTTCATCGCCAGTACGAGAAGCGTTTGGGAAACGACTCGCGGGCCTCCAGCAGGCCCGAAGGAAGCGAGTAAAACCCACGCTTCAACGGACCGATACCGAAGATTGGAGGCATCTTGCGGTCGGGTCCTCAGAAAGCCCTCAACAACGGCCTTACCCGGACGAACAGATCGTCGGCAGGGTAGAGGCAGACGCACGACTCCCACGTGGGCTACACGTTCAGGCCCAGTGTGAATGGAGGACGAAGAATCCTCAGGAGCCAGTTATATTCTTAGCGAAGATCGACGGCGGGAGTGACAGGAACGTCATCTCGGAAGATCTTGTTACGAGGCTCAGAATCCCATGGAGAACGAAGGCAGTACCGTTGCGACTACGGACCTTCGAGGGAGAGCTTATGAAGCACAACGGGGGGCGTTGTACGAGAGAAACCCAGGAACTTTTGATCACGGTTGATGGACAATCTCACAACGTCGTTTTCGACATCGTACCCTTGAGTAAGCAGGTCGATATACTGCTAGGGGACCCTTGGATGGAAGAATATAACCCCGACATTTGGTGGAAGAAGGGCGAGAAGGTCTTCGCCAGCCGCCAAAAGCACAGCCGAGGCTCGGGACGCCGAACTCGAGGAGAAAACCGCCAAGACAATGGCGAAGGGCCACCCAAGAATACGGGTAGGAGCCAAGATCGCCTTGCAGGCCAACGCAGGGATCGAAAACGGTCGACTGAGCAAGAGGAAGAGCAAGAAGAGAGGTTCATTATGCTCATCCACGCTAGCGAACCAGATGAGGACGACTTGAGCAAGACACCGGATGAGTTCAAGGGCGTACCACACGAATACTTGAAGTACGACATCTTCAGAGAAAAGATGAGGGACGAATTACCCTCACATGGTCCGTTTGACCACGAGATCAACCTCAAGGAGGGTGCGAGACTCAGGAAGCACAAGATCTACCATATGACCCCACAGCAGGATGAGGCTATGAAGGAATACCTGGATGAGAACCTACCCAAAGGCTTCATCAGGCGTTCACGGTCACCAGTGGCGTATCCAGTGATCTTCGTGCCGAAGAAGCATGGAAAACTACGCATGGTTGTGGACTATCGTTCACTAAACGAAGAGACGATCAAGAATCGTTACCCGCTTCCGTTGATTACCGAGATGAGAGATCGGCTTTCCGGAGCTCAGTGGTTTACGAAACTTGACCTACCTTTTGCGTTTGGCCACATCAGGATCAAGAAAGGAGACGAGTGGAAGACGGCTTTTCGAACGAGACACGGCCACTTTGAGTACCAAGTGATGCCAATGGGCCTGACCAACGCTCCAGCATCGTTTCAGGAGATGATTGACCATACTTTACGGCAAGCGATAGACGACTTCGCTATGGTCTACGTCGACGATATCTTGGTCTATAGCAAGACCCTCAAGGAGCACAAAAAGCACGTGCATCAGGTGCTGAAAGCTCTTGCGGGAAAGGGACTCTCGGTTAACCACCAGAAGAGCGAGTTCCACACGCAGAAGACGACTTTTCTGGGATTTGAGATATCGCCAGGGGAAGTTCGAATCGACCCAGCAAAAATAGCGGCAGTCAGAGACTGGCCCGCGCCAGAGAACCCCACAGACGTCAAGTCCTTTATTGGATTTGTAGGGTTCTGCCGGATGTTCATTAAGGGATTCGCGGCTATCGCGCGACCGCTTCATGAACTCACCACCAAAGATACCCCTTGGGTATGGGAGGAAAGGCACCAGCAAGCCTTCGACTTGCTCAGGCAGAGGATGATCGAGGAGCCTGTTCTAAAGCTTCCCGATTTCAGCAAGCCTTTTGAAGTCGAAACGGACGCTTCAGACTATGCTTTGGGAGCAGTACTCAAGCAGAAGCATGACGGCCACAAGCACCCAGTCGCCTACATCTCTAAGGCTCTCCACGGCGCCGAGCAGAGATGGCAGATTCACGATAAGGAGCTAAAGTCGATCATCTACGCTTTTGAGGACTGGCAGCCATACCTCAGTGGAACGGAACACCCCGTACAGGTGTACACCGACCACCAGAATCTCCAGCAATGGGCCAAGAAGCAGAAACTCAGCGGCAGACAGACACGTTGGGCAGAGTTTCTCGCGCCATTCAACTTCGAGATCCACCACATCAAAGGCACAGAGAACGCCAGGGCGGATGCTCTTAGCCGGAGACCAGACCACCGGGTCAAGGGCGAGCAAGTGGAATCTCCACCGCTCTTTGAGAAGGACGGAGACGTGCTGCGCCACCCGATCGAGGACTGGTACGACTGTTGCATGGTCTATAGAGTAGACTGGGCCAACGAAAAGGAATACCAGTTCCAGGTCACTACTCCAGAGGAAGAAGAAGACCTTCCGTTCGGTACTACTACCGACGGCCTAGGCAAAGTCTGGTACGGAAACAAGATGTACGTCCACCCGGACGTCCAGGCGGAAATGATCAGGGAGCATCATAGCGCTAGGCTCAACGGGCATCTTGGGCAAGCAAAGACGCTCGCCAGAATCCAGCAGTGGTACGACTTCCCCAAGATCAGAACACGGGTGAAGGAAGTACTAGAAGAATGCGAGGAGTGCAACAAGAGCAAGGCAAAACGGCACATGCCGTACGGGCTCTTGGAACCACTGCCAGTCGCCGAAGATCCATTCAGTTCGATTACAATGGACTTCATCACCAAACTGCCACCCTCGAAGGACCCAGTTACGGACGTGGTCTACGACTCGGTTTGGGTAGTTGTGGATAGGTTTACGAAGTATTCGTACTTCGTACCCTTCAAAGAGACTTGGGATACCGCACGGTTCGCCAAGGTCTTTTGGAAGCACATCGGGTCAAAGCACGGTTGGCCAAGAGAGATCATCACAGACCGAGACAAGCTATTCGTCTCCAAGTTCTGGAAGAGTCTTACGGAAGAAATGATGACGAGAGGCAAACCTTCGACATCACACCACCCGCAAACCGATGGACAGACAGAGCGGCTCAACCAAATCCTGGAAACCTACCTCAGGATCTACGTCAACTTTGAACAAGATGACTGGGTTGACCTCTTACCAAGCGCAGAGTTCAGCTACAACACCGCGGTTCTGGAAGCTACCGGAACTACACCCTTCTTCAACCTCTTCAAGCACGACGCGGACCTTAGGCAGGGACCACCTGCGGAAGCACCAAGCGCGCCCCGTGCAAGAGTGGTTGCAGATCGGGTTAAGGAACTCCACGTTTACCTCCAAGGGAGACTCGAGTTAGTACGCCAGCATATGAAGGAGTACTACGACAAACACAGGCTCGAGGGACCTCGCCTAGAGGAGGGGGATAAAGTTTATCTCTCTACGAAATTTTTGACGACAAAACGGCCAAGTAAGAAGCTGGACTTCAAAAGAATTGGACCGTTCAAGATTGAGAGAAAGGTTGCGACTTCCAACTACGCACTTTCACTACCCAGCTCGATGAAGCTGAGGACTAACGTCTTTCATATTTCACTCTTGGAACCAGCACCCAAGAATTCACGGCTGGAAGAAGACGTCGAAGTCGAGGACTTCGAAGAAGAGTACGACGTTGAACGGATTTTGGACTCACGACTCGTGCGAGGAGAACTTCAGTATCTCATTAAGTGGCTCGACTGTGGGAATGAGGAAAACTCGTGGGAACCAGTTTCACTACTGAGTTGCCCGGAAAAGATCCAAGAATTCCACCAGCAAAATCCAGATCGGCCTAAGGAGCCTACAGGGACAACTTCGAAACGCCGAACGCGGGCGCGCAGATAGAGCAGAAGAGCCTTGCCGTCAGGCCTGGCCCGAGGGTAGGGGAGTCAAGGGGTCGGGAGAGCCAAGAGCCAGCACCTGGTCAATGTCCGCTGCCCCCCAGCCGGGGGAGAGGGGCAGTGAAGAGGGAGCCGCTTGGGCCTCCAGCCGCTCTTCTTCCTCCAGCTCAGAAACAGCGGCCGCCTCGTGGAAAAGGATCCTCGCCATTTTCTTCTCAAAAGCCTGTTCGCGCTTCCGAAGGCGACGAGCCCGTCGCGCGTTTGCCTCCTGGGCTGCGACGACGGCTTCGCGCTCTGCGTCCAGTTCCGTTTTCTCGCGCTGTAGGGAGGGAACTGGGAGACAGTCAGAACCAGCGAGGACGGTGCATGCTGAAAGGTCCTTACTGTCTGGGCCCTCCAACCCGCACTGAGCGTTGTTTGCCAGCACGCACTCGGAGCAGCGTTTGGCGCCCGGGCTAGAAAGGCAGGAAAGCGCCTTGTCGCGACAACGAGGACAGGAAGGCATGGAGAATCCGCTGAGGGCAAGGGCGGAGGATTGTTTTCGGGACGAAGGGTGCTTTTCGCAATCGTTTTCTTGGGAAGGAAACTCATGGTTAGCTACGCGTCGGAAGGGCGTTGCAGGAGGGAAAGGATCACTTACCAGAGCTCCTGGTTGCCGATAGTCGTTGGCTTCGGGACGAAGCCTGAGGAGGAGGGGCATCGTGTTACGATCCTGGTTCAGGGTGCATGAGGCGCCCTGCTTCCGCCCCGTGATTGGGTGACGTGGTGGAGACGGACAGACCCCACCCCGTGTGGGTGCGGCCAACCAGGAAGCGCTCTGCCTGATTAGCTGCCAAGACCAGCAGAGCGGACGGAGCGGGCGCTCTGTGGGGCCCCTGCGCTCTGCGAGCAGAGCGCCCTGGACCCGCGGAGCGCAGGCACCAAGGACTCTGATTGGTCCGCCTTAGATAGATATATACGACGACCGTAGCCACGGTCCTAGATAGTTCTTGCTTGGTTCTTCAAGCAAGCAATACACATTCACTGCACTCATACACTTTGAGTGGCATTCCGATTTGACTGTATTACCCGTGCGATAGGAGCTTGCCCTTTGTTCTATCTTCATAATTACCAACCCAGCATTCAGTGGAGCCCGTGCTCCCTTACAGACAGACGACCCTGACAGTCGAGTGGTTTGTAATACATTGCTCAGCACAACAGTTTCGTCTCTGCTCCCCAAAATCACCAAAATCACACCGCTCAGCACAACAGTTTCGTCTTCACCAATATCACCAAAATCACATTGCTCAGCATAACAGTTTCGTCTTTCCTCTCCAAAATCACCAAAATCACATTGCTCAGCACAATAGTTTCGTCTTCCTCACCAAAATTACCAAATCACATTGCTCAGCACAACAGTTTCGTCTTCTTCACTAAAATCCCCAAAATCACATCGCTCAGCACAACAATTTCCTCTTTCCTCACCAAAATCACCAAAATCAGAAATCAGAAATCATGGCCGAATCTGCATCGACCAGGACGAAAGACGCCGCGGATATCTGCGCCACGCACAAGCGAGCAGACTGGAGCAAACGCGAAATCACCACAGTTATCGCCGCGCTTAAGCGAAACGACCCACGCATTCATCAGCCCAGCGCACACGAGGCCTGGTATGTGAGCAAGGCCAGACTTGACGAGCTGGCTAGAACAGTGGAGAACTACAGCTCATATGTCGAAGCAAGTGCGGCAGCCGCGGATACCACGTGGCCATTGATCGAGCACGTCGAAGCAGTCTATGTACTGTGCAGAGGAAATCTCTGCGACACATACAAGGAGGCGCTGGACGAAGCAAAGCTCGGAGCAATGATCAACGGTGACAATGCGCGTGCTTACGACAAATGGTGGATCGGAGCAGTCGCCAGAAATGACCCCCACGCCGGCAAAGCAACCACATTGCAAGCGATCAAGGACAAGGGCAGCGAAGTTCAACCCAGCCCTGCGGGATTCGCAAACACACCCAAGGGAGGAAAAAGCGCATTTGGCTTCCCGGACTCTGATGAGTTGGATTCTGATGAGTTCGAAGATCAACCAAGCAAAAAGAGAACACGACTCACCATCGACCGTGACAGCGTTACGGACATTGGTGATGATAGCAGTAGCAACAGCGGCATCGGCAATGACAAGAATAGCAGTGAGATTAAAGCACTGCAGACAGCAGTCAACCAACTCAAGGCCACCATCGCAGGGCAGCAAAGGAAGATCGATGCACAAACCAAGACGATCAACAGTCTAGCCGTGCAGTGTAACCGCAACACGGCCTTTCAGATCAATCTCACACATGACACAACAGACCCTGCGGACGCAACACACCTACGAAACATGATCCAGGGATCGATTGCAAGAGCAGCGGAAAACAGCCAAGGGGACAGTGAAAGCGCCATGGCCAAACACATGGCCAGCTACACGTTCCAGAAGGTTCGGGATGGCATCGCTACATACGCATACAATGGAGAGACATACAAAGCACCGATTGAGGTCCGCGGCCTCAACGTGTTTAGTAGAGTCTACTATGGACTACTAGAATCCTACGAAATGCACTTGGGAAGTATCGACGGATTGACCGGTGAGGAAACGGCCAAAATAGGCCTTGAGCACGAGGACAGGGAGTGGGTGTTCACAAAGGCAGCCATAAAGGCAGTGATGGAATTGGAGTCAAGCGAGTGAGATCGAGGACCTTGGGTCAACAACCACTAATCATCGGGGCCATGATTTTTGTGTGAAGGGGCATTGTTGGACTCTAGTTCTAGATTTGGACTGTGATCTATTGAGGCAGAAGACGTATATTGCATTTCCACCAACGCACCCATGTGCCATCAGTTGACCATATTCCAGCCCTACCTCAATTAGTTGACTGTGTGGTGACAATCTGACTCTTGTGCGGGAAATTGAACTCTGGACGGTTTTGCTAATGCTAATCCAGCTAAAGAGTGTGGTTCTGCTCCATGTCCACGATCATATGCCAAGCTGCAATCTGTCACGCACTCGTAGGCCTGCCCACAGCAAACTTGTTACAGCCCTGCCTCCTGACTCTTTGTTTGCGGGAAATTGAACTCCTGGACGGTTTCCCTCAATCTCATAGTTAGAGTGTGGTTCACCGTATTGTAGCCCTACCTTCAATTGGACTCTGGACCAGTTTCTGATGCTAATCCCATGGCTGAAGGTGGTTCTGCTATATGGTCACGCACCCGTAGGCCACAGGCCCAAGTTAATGTGCAGTGACAATCTCTTTATTGTGCGGAAATTGAACTCCTGGACCGGTTTCCCCAAGGGGGAGTCTCTGCATACCGTTAAATTGTCCGCATCTACTGGTACATCCAAGATTCTGCCACCACGTAATTTATCACTCTTTACCACAACCAACTTAAATACGCTGCAACCTTTGTATTTCATTGCAACCTTTGTATTTCACTGCAACCTTTGTACTTCACTACAACCTTCGTATTTCACTGCAAACTTTGTATTTCACTGCAACCTTCGTATTCAGACAAGGCCATACTTTCTACCTTGACGGGATTCTCAAAGTCTCTTGGCTTGCTATGTATTGTAAAGTCTCTTTGCTGGCCATCTTTTCCGCCTCGACGTAAAGTCTGTAGCAAAGTTTTATACAAGAGCATTTTCAAAACTACAAGGCCGTGTTTTTCCCCTTGACGGATTCCCAAAGTCTCTTGGCTGGCTATGTTTTGTAAAGTCTCTTTGCTGGCTATCTTTTCTGCCTTGACGTAAGGTCTGTAGCAAAGTTCTATACGAGAGCATTTTCAAAACTACAAGGCCGTGTTTTCACCCTTGACGGTATTCCCAAAGTCCCATGGCTGGCCATCTTTTTTGACGCAAAGTCTGTAGCGAGGTTCTGTGCGAGAGCATATTCAGAAATACAAGGCCGTGTTTTCCACCTTGCCGGTATTCCCAAAGTCTCATGGCTGGCCATCTTTTTGACGCAAAGTCTGTAGCGAGGTTATGTGCGAGAGCATGTTCGAAAACGCAAGGCCGTGTTTCCACCTTGACCGTATTCCCGCTATGAGTCTTTTGGCTTCCGCTTTGACGTAAAGTCTCTTAGCTGGGTGGCTAGGTTCTGTACAACTCGAAGAAGAGCGTGAGCAAGAGCGAAAGGGGAACGAGTCGAAGGGTACCGCCAGCAACGGGCATGTTCAGGGCTACAAGGCTGTATTTTCTTTCTAGACTATCCTTCGCTAAAGTCTCTCAGCTGGGTAGCAAGGCTTGTGCGAGACAGGCGACCAACGTACCAAAAACATGGCTAACTTTCACGTTGACGGTATTCCCACCGAGTCTCCCCTTGCCGGTATTCCCAAACTCTCGTGGCTGGCCATATGTTGCCCCTTGACGGTATTCCCACCCAGAGTCTCCTGGCTGGCTATCTTTCCCGTTGTGTATTCCCAAAACCTCCTGGCTATCTTCCCCTTAACGCAAAGTCTGGGCAGGGCCGTGTTTCCCAGTGAGAGGGTGTTCGGCATCTGCGAGGGCCTAGACGGTATTCTTGGCCAAACTCTCCTGGCGAGCAGCAGGCCCTGTGCAAGCGACCAACGTACCAAAAACATGGCTAACTGTCCCCGTTGCCGGTTTTCTCAAGTTTTGTGGCGGGCGTAGGGCATGTCGGGACAAGGTTCTGTGCGAGGGCAAATATCGTGGCGGGTAGGGCATGTTCAGGACCCAAGGTTCTGTGCGAGGAAATCTCGTGGCGGGCGCAGGGCTCTGTGCAAGAGAGGCGACGTGTTGGAAGGGCAGGCGCAGGGCTCTATACGAGAGAGGCGACAGTTGGAAGGGCGGGAGGCGATCGTTGGAAGGGCGAGGGAGGCGACCGTTAGAAGGGCGAGGGAAGCAAGCTGTTGAAAGCGAGGGAGGCGCCTGTTAGAAGGGTGAGGGAGGCAAGCTGTTGAAAGCGAGGGAGGTGACCGTTGGAATGACAAGGTCATTCGTGCTAACCACTATAGTACCCGCTGCGAAAGGTGGCATAGTTGTGTTGCTCGTATTTTCCATGTCTGCCAGTCTGCCAAACACCATGTCTATGTCAACCAAGTCTGCCAAACACCATGTCCATGTCTGCCAAGTCTGCTAAACACAAACTGCGGCGAGTGCCCCGCTATCAACGTGCTGCGCCACCTGTGGGCGGGATGGCCCGTACGCTGACCTATCGATAGGGAATTTCTGCACCACCAGAGCACCATATCTCGGTGCGAGGGGTATGTCTATGTCAGTGCGAGGGGCATGTCTTGAAACACAAGGCCATGTTTTCGGGCCAGGCCATCACATGCGGCCCGGATCAGAGCTACGTCAAGAGTTAGTACCAATCTGTCGCCCATATTTGAGCCACTGAGCCACTCTTCAAGCCAGTCAGCTTATTCCGTTGTGTTTGACCTTTGAAGACGTGTCGCTTGAACCAACAAAACAATAGGCGTCGGAGGGGGGTAGGGAGCACAGGGCTACTGGGTCTATATAGGAAGCCTACAGCTTCGTCCTTTGAACCTTCTTCTAGATAAACAATTCAATGCGCTGTCAACTTCGATCAAGTGTAACGCTGTCAACTTCGATCGAGTGTAACGTTGTCAACTTTCATCAAGTAACACCCGCCAACTCCCGCCCGTCAACCTCCGTCAACCCCCGTCAACCCCTGTCAAACCCCGTCAACCCCCGCCAATGCTCGTGGCCAGGGCTCGAGCTGGCGGCACTGCTACGTAGGACTCGGCTCGCAATTCCATTCTGTGCGAGGGCAAAGTCTCTTAGCTAGGCGCAGGGCTCTGTGCGAGGGCAAAGTCTCTTGGCTAGGTGCAGGGCTCTGTGCGAGGATATGTTCGGGGCTATAAGGCCGTGTTTTCCACTTAGACGGTATTCTTAGCCAGAGTCTCTCAGCTGGGCAGCAAGGCGACCAACGTACCAAAAACAAGGCCATACTCTCCCCGTTGCCAGTATTCCCAAAATCTCCTAGCTGGCCCCATTTGCCCCTTGCCGTTATTCTCGCCCAAACTCTCTTGGCGGCCGCAGGGCATGTTCGGCATGACAATGTTCTTTGCGAGGGCAAACTCTCGTGGCCGGGCGCAGGGCATGTTCGGGGCCACAAGGCCGTATTTTCTACTTAAACTGTATTTTTAGCTGAAGTCTCTATGCGAGAGGGGCGAGCAAAGCAATAAAAACAAGGCTATACTTTCACGTTAACGGTATTCCCCCCGGGTCTCCCCTTACCGGTATTCCCAAAGTCTCCTAGCTAGCCATATTTCGTCCCCTGCCGGTATTCATAAAATCTCCTAGCTGGCTGTGTTTTGCCCCTTGCCGGTATTCTCAAAATCTCCTGGCTAGCCATATTTACCCCTTGCCGGTATTCTCAAAATCTCCTGGCTGGCCATGTTTTGCCCCTGACAGTAGTCCCAGAGTCTCTTAGCTGGCCATGTTTTCTGCTCGACGCAAATCTCTGTGCTTGGCAGGGCCGTGTTTTCCGGCAAGGGGATGTTCGGCATCTGTACGAAGGGACCTAAACGGTATTCTTAGGGATGAAGCCGACGCCGACCTGATGCGGTGATGACGCCGATACCAGTGTCTGCAGCTCTGCGATGCGCCTCTTCGCCCTGCCGCCAGCCGTCCCGCGAGCCCCTTAGTAAATGTCACTTAAGATTTGAGCCACATCCGAACCTGAGCCGCATCCGAGCCATAACTGAGTTGAACCTTGAAAGCCCTCTATGACGCTCACTTCCTAGTATCACAAGATTTCCTTTGTTTTACTTTTTGGGTATAAATAGTGGCTTCTTTCCTCCATCTCTAGACCTTTTTTAGACAGACAATTCAAGACCCTTCAAGCCACTGTCAACTTTGATCACAGGCCAGAGTAAATCCACATTCGTTACTGCCTTCAACCATTGACATGCCTACTGCGTAAAGCGGGCCGTCACAGCTAGTCCCCGGACTAGATAGAGGTTTCTGACGACCTCACTTATAGTTGAAAAGCTTCAGGCGGAATTGGTTCTCAAGCAGAGGCACAAATTGAAGAGGCTGAAGACAAAGAGGACGATGATGATCAGGGAGATGAAGACATTGTGCCCGCAAGATTGACAAGATCTGGCCGTGCAACCAGGGTCCCGGCACGCTCAAAAGATTAAGTAGTTAATTAGCTACATTTTGCTTATCCAAAGTCCGCTTGGTCGATTCAGACTGAGGTCCATGGACAATTTACGTCACTGCACAATATCCACGAGATTACTCACCTCCTTCCTTCCCACCCACTGGCGTCAGAACACCCTTGTAGTCACTGTTGCACGCCCATGGAAAGGGTTGTGCTATTCTGAGTAATGGCGCTTGCGACAGTTGCAGGGATTTATGTACTCATACGGGACACTTACCAGAGTACGGGTCTGAATCCTGGTTCGAATCCAGGCGTAGATAATCTTGATTCGGCACATCAGCTATTAGGGGCGCGCTTCTATCTTTTTTATTTGCCGCTTCATTGAAGCTTTCGTTCTTCTTTTTTGCCTTCTTCGCTCATGGCATTCTGGAGCCAGGCAGAGGATTTGCAGCCCAAATCGCGACCTACTTCACGGCCTACGTCGCCACCTATTTTGCTACCACCACCCTGCACTATGGTGCCTTGTGTTGCCGGCATCGCTGACCTTGCACAGTATTTTTGGATGAAAAGCTCGAGTACACGCGCATTATCGACTGGATCTTAGCGGCTACCGGCCCCCGCCTTCCACAGAGAGAGAGGAGAAACTGTCAGATGGAATGGCTTAGAAGGTTCTGGAATCTATGATGCGTAATCTTCGCCACTGGGTTTCGTCATGTAATTGCCACATAAGGAAGTATAAGAGAGAGAGTCTTTTGTGGAAAGACTAGAGGACGAGAATAAGAGCAATTCACTCTGATGCACACAATCCTAGAAGTGCTGTTGCAGTCTGACAGAAACAAGTAACACAGATCGAAGTAGAGACTTGGCACAGAGCCAGGCAGCATTGATGGCGGAGCGTTTCTAGCTTTCGAGAACACGGTCGAGTACTTCATAGCGGCCCTGGCTGCCACTTGCCCGTGACGACGGTGCTGGCTGCCACCCCTGACGGCGGTGCTGGCTGCCAACGCCCCTGACAGCGGTGCTGGCCTACTGGCGGTGCGGCCTGCTGGCGGTGCGGCTGTGACAATACCCCCTCGGTGACGGCGGTGCTGGCCTACTAGCGGTGCGGCCTGCTGGCGGTAGCCGTGACAGTCCGACGCCTCCCGGGCATAGAGAGACGGCAGCTTCATATCACCAACAGCCCGGTACCCACCAACAACAGCCGGGTACACACCAACAGCAGGTACACACCAACAGCCCAGTACACACCAACAGCCCGGTACACACCAACAGCAGGTTAGCTAGTACTAGATGCATAGCTTATTCCATTCACGACGGTGCCTACTGTCCCCTCACGACGGTACCTACTATCTCCTCAACACCTTGAGCTTGTCTGTGTACATATAACCGTGTATGCTTCAGTGCATGACGCCTGCGACGTATGATTGATTGCCAGTCCCCCTTGGGGTTGATTGCCAGTCCCCCTAGGGGTATCAAGACAGTGGGCTGATCTGAGCAAATACCCAAACATGCCACCCAGAGCCCTCTTGATCGCAGAGAACCATGCAGACCCCCAGATCAAGGCGAGCACGGCAGCCACGCCCCATGCATAGTACTGCGAGCAACAAGACGAATTTCATCAGCATCTCCCAGCTCATGCCAGCACATCTTTCTGCAGATGCTGGGCGCTTCACCTCTCCCCCCTCCTCTTCCACCTCTCTCCTATCCCTCCCCTCCTCCTCCTCTCCCCCCTCCCTCCTCCTCCCCCTCTGCGTCCTCGGAGTCCTCGGTCGCCGCGCCTCTCTTGCCCCTTCTCTTCTCCTTATTCCCGAAACGCACTGTCTCTTCCGTTCCAGGCTTAGCCTTGGCGAGAGTTAACAGACGAACTGGCTTGACAGACGGACCGGCTTGCCCTCGACGGGGAGAGGGCTCACGTCGTCACCGAATGTCATGTCCTTCCTTCTCTCCACCTTCTTAGGCAGTAGCTTCTCATCCGGCGGCGAACTTGGGGGCCTTGTCGACGACGGGTGCTGCAGAGAATCATGGCAACGTGATGGCTAGCACATGTTGGATTGGCTATTGTCAGATGGACAAGGGTTGCATGTGGAATAGAGCTCATCCCAGCTGAGCTCTGGTGTGGTCATCCGAGGTGAAAAGAGGCTCAGGGGAGCTGAAATGAAGTGGCCAGTTCAGCTGGTGTGGCTACTTTTGCCACCACCATTGCCACCATTTACAACTATAATAGAGGCCCTCTGGCAGGACCAAAAAGAAGAAGGGGGCAGACCAATGAAGAAAGTTGAAGTGCTGAATCCAACAGCACACGTGTCAGGTCAGCATGCTTCTCGTCTGACGGGGAGGAAGAGGAATCGCACCCGGACGACGTCAATGGCTCCCCCTTCTCGACCTTAGAGAAAGAAGACAAGGCGCTATCGCTGGCCCGTTTTCCATGAGGCAATGTATGGAACTGTGACGAACCTGGTTCGTACTGGACCAGCTGCAGGAGGCAGGCGCCTCAGGCAAGACTGGGGGCCCCGCTCGTCGAGAGCCAATCAGACAGTGCCCGGTGCCAAGAGGGCTCTTGGCACCAGGCAAACGGAAGGACGCCCAATCAGAGGTGGCCCGGTGCCAAGAAGGGTCTTGGCACCAGGCAAATGGCCCGGCACGCTAGAAGTGCCCGGCGCCAGGCAGCTCCTTCCTGCCGGGCAAGTAAGAGCTGTGCTCTTACTGGCCCGCCATAATTAAATAAATACGATGACCGTATCCACGGTCTTAGATAGTTCTTGCTTGGTTCTCCAAGCAAGCAATACACATTCACTGCACTCATACACTTTGAGTGGCATTCCGATTTGACTGTATTACCCGTGCAATAGGAGCTTGCCCTTTGTTCTATCTTCATAATTACCTTCACCGCCACCTATGTGACTAGAATGCGCGTTGTTCCAACAGTTACGTACCATGTGATCAAGCGTGCGATGCCTCGCGTTACGCAGGAAGCACGACCGACTTCGTGATGGAACCTTGAAGATTGATCGAGCATCGTCCACTTCAATTTAGGCCTTTCTGACAACACTTGGCTTCATCCACAAGGAGCTCACGGAGCTCCATGCCCCTGTCAACGATACCTTCCACGTCAATGCTATTGTTGGAAAGTTGAAGAAGACTTGGCCGGAGAGAAATTTGTTCTGGCTCGCCGGCCTGAAGTCGGGAAGAATGACCTGGACCACTTTGAGCTCTGAGCTTGAAGAGATATCTGCAAGCGAGGCTACGGCTAAGTTTTCTAAAGTCATGGTCACTAGCAACAACAACAAGAGTGGACCCGGGTACGAGATCAAATGCCCAAAGGAAGGTTGCACGTATATGATGAGCAACTACCACCAGAGCCTGCAGACATCATGGGCCAAAGAATGCAGAGCACTGCTGGCCCTGTGGCCCAGAAAAGGCACCAGGCTTCTGAAAAGGAAGAAGGCCATCGAGAAAAGAAGAAGCGTGAGGGCGCAGGCACGTTGACTACTGCCGTGGTGCTTCACAACAGTGGAGGACATGCAAACTGTTGCACGCAATCGAATTGTCTGGTTGAATCAGGTCTAGTAATACAGGAAAAAAGGCTCTTTATGCTTTCAAGAAGAAGACAAAGAAAACCTGGTTCAACAGTCTCAGCCTTACGGCGTTAGGAATTCAGCCGCAGTACAGATCTAGCCGCAGTACAGATCTAGCCGCAGTACAGATCTAGCCGCAGTACAGATCTAGCCGTAGTAAGAGAGAAAAAGAGGGCATTCGGGAGCCCGAAGGGTTCGGGGCTGAAAATAACAAATGAAGGAATATGCAGGCATGTGGCTTGACAATTTGGCTCAAAAGCGGCTCAAAAGTGGGCGGCACCCCCCAGGCTTGCAACGGTCAGTACGTAAGCCTGTAACTTGCCAAATACCCAATCGTTGCCGGGAGAGGTTTTTCGTCAGGCCGTCGGCAGGCAGTAGTTAATGAGGAAGCTTCCTTTCTTGATTCCTGCTTCATGCACATGTTCTGAATGTCAATATGTCTGAGTTGGTGTTGACCTATAAGGAAGCTTCCCTACTTGATTCCTGCTTCATGCACATGTTCTGAATGTCAAAATGTCTGAGTTGGTGTTGTTCTGAATGTCAACATGTCTGAGTTGGTGTTGACCTATGAGGAAGCTTCCCTTCTTGATTCCTGCTTTATCCACATATTCTGAATGTCAATATGCCCGAGTTTGGTGTTGATTCTATCCTCTGTGATAACCAGGCGTATGGTCTGCGTGTTGTCACAGTACAGCTTCAGGGATTCCTCTGGGTCCAGGGCGATGCTAATAAGCAAGCGTTCCAGGTCCGGGGCAATGCTGATGAGCAGGCGTTTGAGAGCAACAGCTTCCGAGGCTGTTGTTTGTAGTGCTCTGAGCACGGCCTCGCTCGTCAGGGTGAAATGAAGACAAACCACTGGTACGGGTGTTGGAAGCTACCTTCAGGCGAGCTCAGTCTCACAACCTAAGCGAGACTGAGGGCACGCTAGTGATCGAGGACTTCCTGACCGCTCTTCAGAAGCGCATTGCACCGGACTGGGCGCAGAGCGAGCTAGCCAAGCTGGTCCGGGACGACGCTCTCGGCAACAAGACTCTCACCTTCGAGCAGTACGGCACTTGGTTCGCTGCTCTGATGCACGAAAACGGCCTTGGCGCGACTTCAAAGGACTCTGGGGTGTTCACCACGATGTTTCCGAAGCCCGAGAAGCAGCCGGCCGGAGCTCGCAAGGCCAGAGGTGGAAACCTCTGCCCCTGCAAGAAGGGGGGTGAGAAGCACCACCGGGAGCCTAGGTTCTGCTTTCGCCTGCGCGAAGCGATCACGGGCAAGCGCATATCAACTCATTGAGGCAGAGGTGCAATATTGTAAGGAAACCACCCTCGTAACCACCATGGCCACCGCCACCAGGGCCACCCTCGCCACCATCGCCACTATCGCCACCGCTAACAGGGCCACGCACTATCGCCACTACCACCCTGGCCACGCAAGGATGACTCGTAACCCCTTTCACGTGTATATGGACCATGGCCTTCGCACACCTCTTTAGCTCAGGCCAGGTTGAAGTCTTACGCCAATACCAGTCATTGCTCGCCCTGCTTGTTGCTCCTATTGTGACCAGCTTGATCAGGCGTACCTGACAAATATGGTCAACCACACTCTTCAGCTACCGGATTTAGCATCAGGAAAACCGTCCAGGAGTTCATTCCCGCATAACAAAGAGTCAGAACCACAATCTTCAGCCGGATTCAGCATTAGGGGAACCGGTCCAGGAGTTCGATTTCCCGCACAGCAAAAAGTCAGATTGTCACCGCACATCAACTTGGGCGCTGTGGGCAGGCCTATATGCGTGGCCATACTATAACCTACTAGAGATTGCAGCGTAGTATATGATGGTGGGCATGAAGCAGAACCACACTCTTCAGCTACGAGATTAGCATTGGAAACCGGTCCGGAGTTCAGTCCCGCACAACAAAGAGATTGTCACCGCACATCATTTACTCTAGTCCGGGCCCGAGTCTATACGTCCGGGGCCCGAGTTCATGCGTTTGGGTCCGGGCCCGAGTCTATACGTGACCGGGGACTGTACTCAGATAAGCAGCCAAGACAAGGTCAATACGGACTGCGACGCAACACTTGCAAGTCACTAAAACACGACATGTCAAGAAGAGAAGTAGCTTTGGCATAAAGGCAGCAGCTCTTAGTTGCAGACCCAGGCTGAGCCCAGCCATGTAAATTATAGAAATATCATATATAGTACTGTATGTAGATACACAGAGTTGTTATTTTCTTGGGAGAATGAATTTCAGTCTGTTCGTTTGCGGCCAGAAGCTCAAGCAAGTTGCGTGATTTCTCAATCAACAAATCCTGTGGCCTTCACTACCCAATCCCCCATCCTGCTGTGATGCTTTCCCACGGCATGTACGTAGTGTATCCGATGCTCCGGCCGGTCCACACATAGGGTATCCGATGCTCCAGCACGTGAAAGCAAGGCTAGGCAAATAGCGCAACATGGAAAACAAAAAGAAAAAATACTCCCCACCGCATAGAGTATCCGCCTACATCTAAATACACGCACCACGACCTAACTAGTGAAAGCTTCGCTTAAATAGACCTCCTAAGGTCGACGAGGCGAATATCGTCGCGATAGTCACCGGCAAAGGTAGAATAGGGCTTCCACTTAACCGAGGTACGGGGAACTGTCTCCCTCATCATCTTGTCGACCTGCTTAAGCGAGAGACCCTTTGTCTCGGGGACGAATAGGTACGTATAGACAAACGTAACGGTGTAGAGACCGCCCCAGATAAAGAAGACGGACAACTTGAGGTTTCCGCGGTGCTCGCCGACTATATAGGGAGTGATGACGGCAATAATGGTATTCCATAGCCAGTTGGAGGCAGTTGATAGGGCGATACTACGCGAGCGGATTAGTATGGGGAAGATCTCGCTAATTAGAATCCAAGCGCCAGGTCCCCAGGTCGAGGCGAAAAAGAAGATGAAGGTGGCGATAAAGGCAACCTGGGCGTAGACGGCCGAGATGTTATCCGTAAGCGTCTTGGTCGAGTCGCTGGGATCGACGTGGGTGTGGCTGAATCCGACGGTAATACCAACGACGGCAATAATGAACTGGCAGACGAGCATGCCCGTAGCGCCTCATAAGAGGATGGTACGGCGACCGAATCGCTCAACGGTCCAGAACGAAATCGGAGTAGAGAAAACGTTAACCAGGGTGAAGACTAGAGAGACTAAGAAGGTATTGCTGATAGCACTAGTTGACTGGACGAAGGGAGTCGAGTAGTAGAAGATGAAGTTAATACCAGTCCTGAAATCTAGTCAGTATGTCGTGCTTTATGGCGGCATGCTTCATAGCGGCACTAAGCGCAGCGGGACTCACCATTGCTACATCATATGCAGAGAAGTGCCGAGAATGGTCTTACGGAGGTTAGAGTTAGCCTTAAAGACGGATCCCTTAAAGCAGTTGGCCCAGGTGCCGAACCAGGTAGTATCGGGGATCATCGGGGATCAGCTGGCGCTCGTACTCCTCGTTAGCCACAATCTCGGCAAGCTCGAACTGGATATACCTAGAATCCTCAGGCTAACTACGGAGGCGCGAGAGCGAGTCGGTAGCGCGGGTAAGGTCGCCCTTAACAAAGTAACGGGGCGAGTCGGGCAGGAACATGAGACCAATTCCGAGAATAAGAGCCCAGATGAACTAAATGGCGATCGGGATACGATACGCACCAGTATCGGTACGATCCTTGGTTCCGTATACGATATACGAGGCCGTCATGATTCCGATGGTGATGCAGAACTGGTAAACGGTAACGAGAGCACCGCGGACCTCGCGGGGGCACTGTTCAGGGGGGGTCAGGCTACTCTCTGAGCGGATTTCAGCTGAGGGAAACATATTAGGGAACTTACAATCTCAGACATATACAGGATGACAATAGCGGACTCGAAGCCGACGCCGACGCCGGTAATAAGATGGCCAGCAACAATAGCAGCAAGCGGGTCACCGGCGCCCGTAATTATTTGGATGGCGATACCGAATATGTAGATAGCGCAGCCCATGATAACGGTCTACTTGCGGCCAATCCAGTCGGCGAAATTACTAGCGATGAGGGCACCGAAAGAGGTTCCAGCGGACAAGATAGACGTGATCAGAGACAAGTAGAACGCGGAGAGAGCGGTGGCACCAATGCCCTCGACGGCCTCGATAAAGATCTTGGAGCCATTAATACCGTTAATGTAACCAGAGTCGTAACCAAAGAAGATATCGCCGAAAGAGGCGAAGGCGCAGAGCAGGTACGCGTGCTAGGTGACTGGAGCCTCGATGCGCTCGACATAGTTGGTGGAAAGACCGAGCTCGCCGACGTGCTTAGCATCGGCGGCTGAGGCCGTTTCCTCGTTGAGTAATGACATAGTCGGAGAATTCACAGGCGGAGGATGTGGGAGAATTGACAAGCGGAGAATGTGAGAATTAACAGGCGGAGGATGTGAAGCCAGCGATGACTCTCTCTGCGTGAATAGGTTGAAAGCAGCGTGATAGGCCGGGTCTTAATGGGAAACGGGAGGATAAATACTCAACACGATGTCTGAGAAAATGGAACTCAATACGATGTCTGAGAAAAAGATTAAAAGACCTCGATAATGACGAAGTAGAGAGTAATAAGAGAAGCGGGGCGCGAGAGAAACTTTACGTGCTAGACACGGCCAAGCCAACTGTATTACACCTTCCAATGAAAACACGCCCCTAACTCGGCAGCAAACTGTATTACACCTTCCAATGAAAATACGCCCCTGACACTCGGCAGCTAACTGTGTTACACCTTCTAATGAAAACACGCCTGTCACGGCAAGTGCAGACAACTCTGGAATAGTGGGCCCGACCCGGACCCCACTAGACTAGATGGCCCGTGCACCCCACGTCCTATTTCCCTGCGCCCTGCCCAAGCTTTAGAAACTTCCTTTCTTCTTTCTTTCCTTAGCTTTAGATTCTACGAATACAGCGACCATATTGCAGCCTTGTCTCATGCAGTTGACTGTGCGGTGATAATCTAAAGCTCAATCTCTCTACTCGCCTGGGAAGGCAATTGAAAAGAATATCCCACCTCACGAACCGAATCACGCGATTGCTACACAAGGTGTGCGACCGCCCGACCGAAGAACGAACCACAGCACTCCCAGCGGGGTACTGTAGAAAGAAGACCTGGCAAGCAAGATGCCGGCCAGCGACGATGAGCAGCTGCAGGCAGTCCTGCAGGCTGCCGTGAACGAGATTGACTTCGATCGCAATGCCGTTTCAAGAACCCACCCGCGGAAGAAGTCAGACACCACTCTGTCCCTGGTAGCCAAACAGGTCGAAATGGTGGCCCTCTCTACCAAGGTAACCGAGGGACACTCCCCTGCCGATAACCCAGCCAACGCGCGCGAATTCACGGACCGAATCGCACGCGAGGTCGATAGCGTCAAATTCACCCTGACTATTGACGACGTCGACAAAGACCTCCAAGAGAAGCTATCCGATATGGCGGCTCTCCATGTCCGACGGAATAAGGAAGGACCCGGCATGCCTTTCAGCGCCTGGTTGGACCCCGCCGCAGTGAGCTTCGAAGGAACAATGGATATCAAAGACTTCGAGAGACAGTCCACTACCCATCCAGACGAGCACTTCCAGGAGTTTAAGCTACGAACCTTGCTAGCCCACTCATGGTACGACCAGATGACCCAATTATACAGTATTGCTCGCTATCAGGCAGTCATCATCGAGAACGTCAAAGGATGGGCCCTCCCGGGACTAGCCCAGGCCACACGCTCTGCTATGACAACAGTGATGCCTACTACGGAGCCCATCTCCGTCGACGGCAGCGAGGATGCTATCATTGCAGGCTTGAACGACGTGATAGCCAACAAAGATGAGATCATCCAGAAGATGCAAGACAAGATCGATGCTCTGAGTCGCACTATCGCTGATAGCGCTACTGATGGGCTGCTACGAGGAACGACCCCTGCTTCCACCATAGAGGGCACCACTCGCCGCAGCGCCAAGATCTCGGACCCTCCCCTGTTCTATAACAACAAGGACAAGGACACTATCACGTTCAATACCTGGATCCGGCAGGTCGAGAACAAACTGGATGTCAACCACGACCATTACGAAAATGATCGCGCACGACAATCATACATTGAGTTTCGATTGGCAGGAAAGGCCTCCTACCAGCTAGAGCCTTATCTGGAAGAGGCCCACCCAAACCAGATCAAGACTTCAGCATCCCTCATAGCCTGGCTGAAGAACGAGTTTCGCAATGTCAACCGAGCGGAGGAAGCTATCGAGGAGTTCGAGGCCCTTCGTATGAAGCCAGGTGATGAGTATCACAGCTTCCGCAACGAGTTCGTACGATTGGCCGGAGAATGCCGCAAGACTCGTTCCGAGTGGAAGAAAGAGTTCAAGCGTCGTCTCCTCCCTATATTCCAGGATAAACTTATCCGAGAATACATTGACGATACGGTTGACTTTGAGCTGTACGCGAAGATCGGTGCAGAGTACGCATTGAATCTCAAACTCGCACAGAAGGCACGCCAAGCAGCCCGCAAGGGAACCGACCCCCCCCAGGCGGCCCGCCAGAACAACCCACACCCGAATAACCGACCCCCGGCGGCTGGTGGAGGACACAAGGCAGGAGGAGGCCAGAAGAAGCCTAGCGCCGAGGAAATCAAGAAGCTGTACGCTGAGGGTCGTTGCTTTATCTGTCGCGAGCAGGGTCACACTACCCGCGATTGCCCACAAAAGGCGGTATCGGGACCTAACAAAGAAGCCCGCTTACAGTCAATAATCGCGCGGTATGCCAATGACGATGGCAGCTCGTTAACCCCCTCAGCGACTGACGACGGAGCGGAAAACTAAACACCCTGGGGCAAGTGGACTCCCTCCCAGGGGAAGTGTCAACGCACGACATTGCAGATATGGGAAAAGAGAAGACAGGAAGAGGGTTGCTAGCCAAGTACCTAGGCGGCCTAGCATTCACTATTAGCTGTGACATAGCAAATAATGGACTCTCTTTAACCACAAACGATGTGCTAGTCGACACGGGAGCAAACGGATACATTTTCGTGAGCCGAAACTTTGCCAACAAGATGCAAAACTTGCTACACCTCGAACCAGTTATAGACCCCGACCCAAGACGGGTAGGCGGTTACGACAACAAATCTCAACAAACCATCGAGGAACTCCTAGAAGCTAACCTAGTAATCCAACACCGTACGATCAAGGACGAGTACCTAATTGTGGTAGACTGCGTTCACGACCTAATGATCGGCCGGAAATGGCTCGACTACCACGACGTACTCGCCGATACGCGGCGTCGTAGGTTGTTATTCCCTGAGGAATGGGAACTCGACCCGAGCTGGTGGACTACCATTTCTATGGACCAGTCGGAACTGGGACAACCCAACCCTATATATCAAGAGGATGTCAAGAAGAGAGAGCTAGCCATAGAAAAAGAAGACAAGCGCCGGCGCGACGGCAGACTCGTACGGGCACGAAGAGACGAGCTAGAACGGCAGGAATCTGCTAGGTTCACGGTGGAAGACCCACGAACGCCGGAACCTATCATGACGATACCCACATTCCGACCGACACTCCTTCAACGCTCGTCCCGCCTGCTGAGCGGTAGCCGGATAGACCGGGAACTAAACCTCATGGAGCGACAACTCCACGCCCCCGACTCCCCGGAAAAAGCGCCGCTACCCGAGAAAAAGAGGAACCCTTTCCCAGAACGCGACGCACAAGGACCATACCGAATGCAACGAGACGGTATTAGTTGGTACAAGGAGAGACCCATTGAGATGGCAGTACTGAGCGAGGCAGCTTTTAAACTAGCCTCAGGAGGAGAGCAAGTCGACGTCATGACATTGCACGAGCTAGATAAACGCATCTCGGAACTGAAGGAACTACCGGAGGGCGCCGATGGACTAGACCAAGACGACAGGAAGTTACGAGAGCAAGTCCTAAGGGACCTTCCGTCACCATATCACGACTTCCTAGATGTGTTTAGCAAGGTTCAATCCGACATTCTAGCCCCGAGGCGAGGTCCGGTGGATCACAGAATTCGCCTCTTACCAGACAAAGAGCCCGAGGATTTGGGATACAGCCCCCTATACAAGATGTCCCTGGAGGAGCTGGAGGCTTGTAAGGAATACATTACCGAAGCCTTGAGAAAAGGGTTCATACAGACTAGTGGATCACCCTGGGCAGCACCCATCCTATTTACTAGGAAACAGAACGGCGGCTTACGGTTCTGCGTCGATTACCGGAAACTCAACGCATTGACAATCAAAGACCGCATGCCACTACCACTTATCGACGAGACCCTCAACCGACTCGGAAAAGCCAAGATCTTCACGAAAATCGACATCCGTCAAGCATTCCACCGCATACGGATACATCCCGACGACGAACAACTGACTACGTTCCGAACCCGATACGGCACATATAGCTATAAAGTTATGCCATTCGGACTGACAAACGGGCCGGCGACCTTCCAGCGATTCATCAATGACTGCCTGCTAGGCTATCTGGATGACTTTTGCAGCGCATATCTGGATGATATCCTCATCTACTCCGAAACCGAGGAAGAACACGTCAAGCACGTACGATTAATCCTACAACGATTGAGGGAAGCCGGACTCCAAGCAGATATCGACAAATGCGAGTTCCACGTACAAGAGACCAAGTACTTGGGATTCATTGTCGGTACTAACGGAGTCTCGGTGGACCCGTCGAAGGTAGACATCGTACGAGACTGGCCGGAACCAGATACGCTAAGCGGCTTGCAATCGTTCCTGGGGTTCTGCAACTTCTATCGGCGATTCGTGAAGGGATATAGCAACATAGCGAAGCCACTGACAGCCCTAGCCAAGAAAGGCGAAGCGTTTAGATGGACGGATAATTGCCAAATTGCATTCGACGAGCTCAAGGTACGGCTGTTGTCGGCACCAGTATTGAGATACTTCGAATACGGCAGGGAGACCCGAATCGAGACCGACGCATCAGGAGGAGTAGTAGCCGGCGTATTGAGTCAGAAATACAACGGCGAATGGCACCCAGTGGCCTTCTTCTCCGAAATGATGAAAGGAGCTGAGCTAAACTACTTCATCCACGATAAAGAGCTCCTCGCAATTGTTAGGGCCCTACAGCACTGGCGTAGTGAGCTAATTGGATTGCAAACCGAACAGCCATTCACAGTCTTCTCCGACAACGACGCACTAAAATACTTTGCCACCAAGAAGCTACTCAATATCAGGCAAGCCGGATGGGCGGAGGAGTTGGCGGACTACCACTTCCGTATCGAATACCGGCCGGGTGCCTTAAACGCAGCTGCAGACGCATTGACGCGACGAACGCACGAGCTCAAGACCCAGAAAGAGCGCCAGATGGCCCACCGGACGGTACAAATGTTCCAAGAACAGACAGACGGCAGCCTCATTATGACACTCGAATGTAAGACCTTTACGCAAGAGACCGCACCGATCCTGGCCTTGATAAGGGCAGTCGAGGAAGACGAGCCTATTGGCGAGGAGGAACTTGAAGAAGAGGGGCAGACCGATATTTTGGCGATGGAGGAGCCCCCCGAGATATCAGGTTATGAGTTGATTGACCAACTACTGGCAGCTAACCGAGATGAGGAATCCTTAATGGTATACCGAGAGAGGGCCTTATTGGAGGACGAAACGAAACTCTCGGTCACAACCGGAGGCCTATTATTGAGAGAAGGCCGACTGGTAGTCCCCGACGTGGATAACCTGAGAACCAAAATCATCGACGATGTTCACTCCAGACTAGCAACAGCTCACCCCGGCCGGAACAAAACCAGGAAGCTTGTGAAAGAGTATTACTGGTGGGCCGGAATGGGAGCAGACATCGACAGGTTCGTAGCCAACTGTGAGTGCAAGTCGGCGAAGACACCGCACGACAAGACTCCTGGTTTACTACACCCTATACCAGCACCCTTGCGGGTATGGAGCGCCTTGGTGATAGATTTCAAGGAAATGCCGAGAGACAGATACGGGTTCGATAACCTATTCACAATAATCGACAGACTCAGCAAAATCTCGTGGTGTACCCCCTGCCACAAGACGGCCACTAGCGAGGCAGCAGCGAGGATGTACTACGATGGGCCATTCCGAATCTTCGGCCTACCCCAGGAGATTATTAGCGATAGAGGACCGCAGTTTACGTCCGAATTCATCGATGAAATGGCCAAGCTTATGGGAATACGCTGGAAACTCTCCTCATCCGGGCACAAACAGACAGCAGGACAAGTGGAAAACCTACACCAGTGGATCGACCAGCGCCTCAGACCATTCATAGACCACCACCAAGACGACTGGTCACGGTTTATCCCTGCAATCGACTTCGCACAAGGCGCTAACCCGCAGGACAGCATCGGTATGCAACCTCATGAGGTAGCCTTTGGGTTCCCCATGCCAATGCATTACGACTGGACTGCAAGGACAGACCTGGAAAATCCCGACATACCAAGGACTGAGCGACTGAATCGAGAAGACGCGCAGCGTATGGCGGAGACTATGAAAGCCTACGTGGAAGCGGCTAGGGAGAGTATACGCAAAGCTCAGGAAAAACAGGCAGCTGAGGCCAACAAGCACAGACGTATACCAGACTTCGATGTGGGAGACCAAGTATATATCATAAAGCACGCTTGGTCAACAGATCGTCCTAGTACTAAGTTGGATTTCCCACTCACCCAGCAGCACTTTAAGATCCTCGAGCGTTCAGGCACTGAGAAGGATGGGTACGACTACAAGCTGGAGGTGCCAGAAGGATGGCGAGGCACCGACGTGTTCCACGCAGACCGCCTACGCCTATACCCAAACAACCCCCTCCCTGGTCAAGAAGAACCAAACCCGGAGGGAGAGATCGTCAATCAAGAACAAGAATGGGAACTCGAAAAGATACTATCGTCCCGATCGTACTACGGCAAACTCCAATACCAAGTCCGGTGGAAGGGTTGGGCGGCAGACGCAACATGGTACTACGCAGAGAACTTCAGAAACGCGCCCAGGCTACTCAGGGAATACCACGATGAACACCCCGACAAGGCAGGACCACCCGCACGGCTAAATGAATGGTTACGCGCAGCGGAGGAAGACAGGTTTGACGAGCCTCACCAGGATGACAACAAACCCGTGGTTCAGGGAAGACCGTTACGCAGAACGACGCGACGACGCTGAGAGCGTACGACCACGCGTTCAATCCCTGACCAGGGCAGTCCCACTCGGCAAATTCTCTTTTACTTCTATTCTTTTTCTTTCTTGAGGGGATAATTCTGTCGCTTCGGGACGAAGCTTATTTCGACCCGGGGGTAGTGTCACGGCAAGTGCAGACAACTCTGGAATAGTGGGCCCGACCCGGACCCCACTAGACTAGATGGCCCGTGCACCCCACGTCCTATTTCCCTGCGCCCTGCCCAAGCTTTAGAAACTTCCTTTCTTCTTTCTTTCCTTAGCTTTAGATTCTACGAATACAGCGACCATATTGCAGCCTTGTCTCATGCAGTTGACTGTGCGGTGATAACGCCCCTGACTCGGCAGCCAACTGTATTACACCTTCTAATGAAAACACGCCCCTGATACTCGGCAGCTAATTATGTTGCACCTTTCAATGACAATACGTCCCTGATACTCGGCAGCTAATTGCATTGTACCTTCTAATGAAAACACGCCCCTGATACTCGGTAGCCAACTGTATTACACCTTCCAATGAAAATACGCGCCTGATACTCGGCCAACCTGTAGGCGCTCCCTTCGTGCTTTGTTCTAGGGGTTTAGAACTATGATGAGGGTATTCGCATTCAGGAGGTTAGGTTCGCTGGAGGAAAAAAGGTAGGGCGGGGCACGGGTACATACCAGGCCTCTGTAAACTTACTGGTATTTCAGTTACAGGTCTTACAACTAGACCATAGGCATTTCCCGGTCTTTTTCTGGTCCTTGACCGTACACCACCGCTGACCCTTGACCGCGGCAACCGAGCATATGCCACCCGGGGGCTCCGACTCGCAGCTTCTCCCACAAGGCTAGGTTTTAATGGTTTTCTCGCACATGGTGACTGGCGGAGGCGTGCGTGAGTGTTAGGGAATAGGTATGATTGTCCGGGTAGGTGGATGTCTCTTACTGTAGTGCTAGTGATATTGTGAGAGCTTGGTAGATGCTGAGGATGAGAGCTTGGTGAATCCTGATGATGAGAGCCTGGTGGATGCTGATGATGAGTGCGAACTCCACTTGAAGGGCAGCGGCTTGCAGCTATTTAACTATCGAAATTCAGCCATTGCGTCACCTGTCACGACCAGGGCAAGGCATTGAGGTGAACTCAGTCCATTAGGTGCTATCGACGAAGATTCTAAACTGAGGAGAGAAAGAAGGAAAAGTCCGACAACGCGTCGCGTGCTCGCGAATAAGTTTTCATCTATCAGTGGGGTAGGTGGGGCCTCGAGGAGGCTTCTGATAGGCCCGGGGGTTCTGGGCGGCTCTGGCTGCTTGAGGGCCAGTTTGGTGGACGGGTCCTCACATCACCGATAAACGTTATCAATATTTGTTGATTGGCTATTGATTCACTGATACACGTTATCAATGTTTGTTAATTAGCTATTGAGTCACCGATAAAGGTTTCGTTTGTATCTAATTGCATCGCGTATCTAAGTTGTCGAACGAGTTTCTTTTAGCTCGTATGATATCAAGGGATAAGACAATTATCGTCACGCAGATAAGTTGCAGCAACCGCTCGCGCCTAGCCACCAGCCCACACAGCAGCCCACGACACAGGAGCCCCGCCACCAGCCCACACAGCCAGCAGCTGCCGCAACACCACGCCAGACACCACCCACACAGCCAGCAGCCGCCGCAGCAACAAGACACCACGCCTACACAGCACAGCAGCCCAGCAACAACCGCGCCCGGCCACCACGCTCAGCAGCCTAGCAACAACCGCGCCTAGCTACCACGATGCCACGCCCACGATAGCAGCCGCCGCAACACCACGCCAGCCACCACGATACCATGCCCACAGCAGCCCTACGCACCAGTTGTGCCTGCTCCCCACACCTGGCCCGTACGCCGCGTACGAAAAGACTTGGGAAATGGCCGACTTGCAAGGCCACGGCGGCAACACGGCAACACGGGATGGGTAAGACGGGCATGGGCAAGACGGGATAGGCAACACTCGCGGCAACACGGGGCGGCAAGACTTGCGGCAATACGGCAATACGTCCCCGGGCAAGACGGGAGTGGGCAAGACGGGATAGGCAAGACGGAAATGGCCGACTTGGACTGATGCACGAAAAAGTGTAAATAGCTTCATTTCGTAGAGCGCTGGTAGGAGCCCCATTAATGGCGTTTGGCGCTAGCCCGGACGCATCGGGTTAGACTCGCGCTAGCGCAGGGGCCATGTTGGCACGTGACACTAGCGGGGTCTGGGGTTTCCAACTTTTGGGAAATGCCCCGCGCCCACCAAGCTTAGAACAATCATCACTTTTTACACCTTTTTTCATCCCTTTCGGTTTTACCGCTTCATAGACCAAGGATACGGCGGCAATACGGCAACACGGTAACACGGTCCTCGGGCAAGACGGGGCGGCAAGACTCGCGGCAAGACTCGCGGCAACACGGTGTGGCAAGACTCGCGGCAACACGGGCAAGACTTGTGGCAACACGGCAACATGGGAATGGGCAAGACGAGAATGAGCAAGACGGGGATGGCCGACTTGGCCACGGCGGCAACACGGCAAGACGGGATAGGCAAGACTCGCGGTGATAGGGAAAGCTGCAGTGGTGACCAAAGATGGTATAATTTATATGTGTGTAGAAGGTTAGTGTGAGGACCCGTCCACCAAACTGGCCCTCAAGCAGCCAGAGCCGCCCAGAACCCCGGGCCTATCAGAAGCCGCCTCGAGGCCCCACCTACCCCACTGATAGATGAAAACTTATTCGCGAGCACGCGACGCGTTGTTGGACTTTTCCTTCTTTCCTTCCTCAGTTTAGAATCTTCGTCGATAGCACCCAATGGACTGAGTTCACCTCAATGCCTTGCCCTGGTCGTGACAGTTAGAAGGTGGAAAAGGGAGCTTGTGTGCCCTGCCGCGGGGATATGCCCCACGTAGGCGGCAGAATAGTACTGCCTGTACACACCGCTTCCTTGCCCGGCTTACGCCAGTCTATGGGCTCTCACTAGACGCACACGTGTGTGCGCTTATGTAAGTGTGAAATTGCTTATGTAACTCTGAAAATGCATCTAACGCGGCTAATTTTTTCGCACCCTTTTCCACCACAGCCAACCTATCGCCCACACTGCAGCCAGCCAGCCAGCCATTCTATCAATCCGTACAACATCTGAATAACGCTTCGGGCACATCCGAGAGGTCCGTCTATGGCCAATTTCACCGCAAGCCGTACACTGGCTTGGCCGCTTAGCCCGCGTTGCCTGTGTTGCCTCGACGACCTCGAATCCACTAGGCTCCCGCTTCGTACTTGACGCTGGGAGCCTACTTGTAGCTTTTGGCTTCATACGATGGGGCTCTAAAAGCTGAGGTGGAGCCCCACCACGTATTAAGCACCAGTGCGAATGGAAGTCTTCAAGAAGAAGAGGCTCTTGACGCCCAGTAAGTACATGTACACATAGAAGCCCGTAGATACGTGTAAAAGTGCCTGTACAAGTAGGCCGCGGAGGAGGGTCTTTCCACTGCAATCGCTGCTGCTTCTCAACCTTCCGTAATGCTTTGTATGAGACCCAGCCCTGTACGGCCTTATACAGAGCTTTATCGAGCTCAAGAGGTATACGGATCTGTTGTTTAGCTTGGTTAGACCGCAACTCAGAGAGTTGGTTGATCAATGCAAGCCGAATTGCCTTCCATGCTTCAAAAAGGTCAAATGTTGACCTCTGGAGGTACGACTTGAGAAGCGCATGGATCCCTTCAACACGAGAGGTAGCCGTATTTCCAAAATGAGCTTGTTGGTCGACCCACGTAGAGACAAGCTTCTCTTTGAACGGTAGAAGCCATGTCTCCTTAATATAGCCAACTTGTGCAAGGTTTGTTAAGCCGTATTTATTTTCGAACTCCTTTAAACGCTCCTCGTAGATCTCTTCAGTTGGCGAGTCAAGAATAGAGAACCAAAAAGCGTAAAACTCCTTCCACTTCTCAGCTTCTGGAAATGCTGGTTGGCACCGTGCAAGAACTGCTTTATTTGCATGCCAGGTACAGAGAGATGTTGTCGGCGGAAAGATTGTTGAAGCTGCGTTGATAACTGCTTGGCACGGGTCTGTCAAAATAAATGATGGGAAAACTCCACCACACTGCTCGTATAAGGTCTTCAACCGCTCGAGGGCCCATATATAGTCTTCTTCAGTCTCGCCGCTTAAAAATGCAAAAGCAATACAAAAAGAGCGTCCAGTTGCATCAACGCCAATCATATCAAGAAGTGGCATGCCGTATTTATTTGTTTTGTATGTACAGTCGAGAAGGAGGACTTCAGGATACGCTCGAAGGTAGACAAGAGAGCCGGGATGCGCGAAAAGAACTGCCGTTACATGCCGATCTGGCCCATATTGTACACGGCTCCAGAAGCCTTCTTTCTCAAGCTGATTTGCAAGTGCGTGGATTGGACTCTGGCCTTGACGAGAGTCCCGGCGGACTTCAGCGATACGGTTGTAGATGTCTTGACGTGTTGTTAAAGAACCGCTTTGCCGTACGACTGTCTGGATCTCCTTTGGTGCAAGGCCAGCATTCGAGAGTACTGGTAATTGTGATATACCGCCAGAGAGCTGTCGTTGGACAGGGTGTGCTGACGGGTATAGGCTCGGCTCGTGGTTATGGACTGCGAAGCGACGATCTGGACGATGCTTTAGAGTCCAGCCTTCGCTAGACTCCTTAGCGATAACTGAGAAAGGGCAATTCGTCATGCGAGTAGTCGTTTTTCTCTGGCGGTTTCGCTCTGGCAACGAAGGCAGTCGGCGACTTCGATCGCATGCGAAGAAGACCCTCGAGAAGCTATTAGCCTCGTGTATTGACCTCTGTGTTGTAAAAGCGTAGCCGCGAGGCTTTGCGTACGCGTTGATTGATTCGAATAGGGCCTGTCGAGACTCGAAAAAGCCCTCAGGAGGGAGGCAGTTGTCTGGAAAGGTGGCCATAGCTGCAGTGTGGGCGATAGGTTGGCTGTGGTGGAAAAGGGTGCGAAAAAATTGGCCGCGTTAGATGCATTTTCAGAGTTACATAAGCAATTTCACACTTACATAAGCAGACACACGTGTGCGTCTAGTGGGAGCCCTGAGGATAGTGCCGTGACTCACGCCTGAGGCACGAGCGGGGTTGCAAATTTCCCCATGAGGAAACCGTGGTGGTTGTGGTCTTCCGCCTGGAGGCACATAACTACGGTATCTAGGCTCTGCCTACTTTTCTTTTCCTTCCGAATACAAGCACTCACACGTGGGCGCAGGTGGCGCACAAGAGTGCTGGCTGCTGGCCGTGACACCTCTCCCAGAACAGTGCTACTGCTAATTTATACTAGAAACCCCCAGAACAGTTCTACTGCTACAGTACACCAGAAACCCGGTCAGAAAATTTCTGCTGAATCTGCACTAGAAGCCTGTTTCTGGCCTTTCCCGGCTCGATACGCTGTCTTAGGTAGTGTGGGCCGCTCAGGGGTGGGCCGCTGGGACCTAATTTAGCCGCTTCGAGTCAACGGTGTAATCTGATCCAGACGATAGAATCTAGCTAAGAGTCCACATGGTCAGGCAGGTTTGTGCGTGAACAGAGAGTTTGTGAAACACATAGTCATATGCAGGTTTGATTATAGTGCGTGGATAGCGGGTTTGTCCCACACATTAGAGTCACACACTACATTCGCCCACGCTAGCGCTTCTCTCTGAACAATTGTGAGTGAATCATACGTGCATTGGGGAACTAATTCAGGGAGGAAATCAAACGTGTAGGCGAGAACTCGGCGGGGCTAGAGCTTACATGACTAAGGCTTGTGAAGGCAACTCCGCTACAACAATTGTTTGCCCTCGCACACGCACACTCTAAAAGAATTTGCTTGCCCTCCCCCTCTCCCTTTCTTCTTTCCCCTCGCAACACACCAAGGAACCTTTCCCCCCGCAACACACAGGATTTCTTTCCTCCGCAACAACCAATACCACACAGCGAGACTCGCAGTGCTTCAGCATTGATTTCTCAGACAGACCGTCTTTCTACGTAGGTGCTGCTGCCTGAACCCAGTCTCGTCCATAATTGACAGCTTGTGATAACTGACAGCTTGTGTAGACCAGAATCATTGATAGATTAGCCAAATACCAGAAACGTAGGTGCTACCCAAGAACCCAGTCTCGCCCATAATTGACAGCTTGTGATAACTGACAGCTTGAGCAGACCAGCAGCTTGTGCAGACCAGAATCATCGATAGATTGGCCAAATACTAGAATCTCCTCGTAATACACCACCACACAGCAAGACTCGCAGTGAGCACCAATCTCTCCAACAGACTCTCTTTCTACGTAGTTGCTGCCTAAGAACCCTCTCGCCCACTGACAGCTTGACTGACAGCTCGTCCAGACCAGAATCATCGATAGATTAGCAAATACTATGGAATCCACATCCGAAATGGAGCAGCGGTACAGCCAGCTCTTCGACGACGTCCAGGACGCCCGCAAGAAGCTCGAGCCATCGGGGTCGTTTGACGCCAAATTCTGGTCCGAGAAAGCCCATGTCCTCGCCATGGATTCGGAGCGAGTAAAGCTATATACCGACCTTCTATACCAGAAGTACATCGAAAGTGGTGGAGTATTTTCGAGGGGACTGTGGGACTTTGTCGATCAGAAGGCGAGAGACTGCGTCATGGAGTCGATCGCATTGGCAGAACAAGCCAAAATCGCGAAGGACCACGCAAACAAGGCAGACCCTCGCATCTCCGTACGTGGCAGCTCATACGTCAAGCTATTCAAGACATCGAATCTAGGATTCGGGCTAGAGATTGCTCCTGACGGCCAGGCAGAGACGGATAATCAATTGATGATGAGAAACTGGATGAAGCTAGCGTACTGCGCTCCCAAAGACGGTGCTATCTGGGAGCCGGTGCTCGGCCAATGGATCGAACCGTGCCTCGCCATGACTGCACAGTTCTACTCGTCGCGCTCAGCAGATTTCATGGACGACATCTTCGGCACGGGCGCCCACGACGAGCTCTTCTCCCTAGCCAACGGAGTCTTCCTCCATCACAAGATCAAGGAAGCTTTCGATAAGGGCTTCCTGGTCATCGTCCCAGACACCAACATGGACCCGAAAAACCCCTTGGCCCCGTGGGAGGATCGAGAAGAACGGTCCGAGCGTTTGAGAGAGTGGGAGATGACACACCCGAGACAATACCGCATCGCGGTCCTGGACGCCACGCCGCGGTTCATGAGCGAGTGGGCCTTCAGCAAGAAGATATACACGGTCGAGTCGGAGACGTTGGCAGGGCTGCACGGACGCCGGCTCACGTTCCTCAACGATGCGCGGCCCCGGGCTCGCTATGTCTGGTGGGGCTTTCTCAGAGCCGTCACGCAGTTGACCTGGAGGGAGTCAGCTGCAGACGCCGAATGGTTGATAGAGGAGGTCCCGAAGGAGGCGTCGGCTGGAAACCCCATGGAGGAGGCCCTGAAGGGGTCGTCGGCTGCCAACCTCAAATCGTTGATGGAGGAGATCTGGAAGGGGCCGTCGGCTGCAAAGCCCGACTCGTTGATCGAAAGGGAGGTCCTGAAGGGGGTGAGATATTGGGGCACGCCCGGAAAATACGTCAAGGAGAAATTACTCTGTAGCTTTGTCCACGAGCTCGGACACGATGCCAGCTTCATCGCGCCTTATGGACGACGCCATCGAGAGGCTCGCGATGCGGACCAGTAGGTCTCGCCATGGGATCAAGTCTCGCCATTGGGATCAAGTAGTCGGGTCACAGAAACATGACGGCCAGTTACAGAAACATAACAGCCGGTCACAGAAACATGACGGCCGGTTACAGAAACATAACGGCCGGTCACAGAAACATAACGGCCGGTCACAGAAACATGACGGCTTTGACTACGAGCTAGAGGAGGATGAGGGTGGAAGAGATAAGGGTAACAGCGAAGATGAGGCTGAGCTGGAGGAGGATAGGAAACAGCGAGGATGAGGCTGAGCTGGGGGAGGATAAGGGTGAAAACGAGCATGACTAGGGGGGAAGTTGTTGTGGCTGGCGGTGCTATGCCAGTCTCTCTTTCGCCTTCTTGTTTTGGGCGGGTTGCCTTCACATGCCTTCGCCATGTAGGTCTAGCCCAACCGAGTTCTCGCCCACACGTCTTGTACGTTTTGTAGGGAGGTTTTCTCCCAGAGTAGTTCCCTAACGCACACAACACATTAGTTCCCCAATACACACATTAATTCCCCAATACACACATTAGTTCCTGTTGGATTCACCAGGGTACCGGTACTGGACTCAACAGGGCGTGGCTGCACGCCGAAAACTGGTGGTTCAAGTGATGGATTGTAGATGTCTGTTCTTCTCTCTAGCTTTCTGGCAGTGCCAGAAAGCCCGTTCTTATACTACTATTGTGGTGGCGAAGTTGGTGGCAAAGTCTCTATCTAGAACCTTCGAGGCCCTTCTGCTTGACAAATTCCAACAGTTCCCCAATGCACACATCACACAGAAACATAGAATTTGCTTTGGACGATGGGCACCTCGCAGGCGTGACGGTGGACCTCGAGCGCGGGGACGTGGAGCTCTTCTCTTGTCATTATGTAGGGGAGCAACCAAGCACGTTGCTCCGTTGTACACTGAGATTTATCTATGCTGCTGTTCACTCCTGCCTGCTCTCTTGTCTATGTGTACTATATATCTGCCAATGTTGCCGCCTGTCGGCTGGCGGCTTCGGCAACGTGGTCAAGGGGCTCGAGAGACGGCTGGCCCAGGGCGAAGAGGCGGCATCGCAGAGCTGCAGACATTGGCATCGGCGTCATCACCGCGTTGGCGCTCGGTCGATGGCTCTCGGCTGGCACATACAAGACGGCCTGTGACTGTACTAGCACATCACATCCCGGTGCGGCCCGAACTTGAAACTGCTCCGGCACTCGGGCACTAGGTCAGGCGCCAGCAGCTCGGGACTCCCTGAACGTCACTCGGCAGCTGCAGAACTCTGTTGGCTGGCACATGAATCGTGGGTCAAGCTGCAGCGCCGGTAGCTCGGCACGCCCTAGAACTCTGCTGACTGGCATATATAAGACAGCCTACGACTACACAAGACATGTCCTCAGTACGGTACAAACTTGGAACTACTCGGGCATTCCGTTAGGCGCCTGCAGCTCGGGACCCCCAAAATATCTCTTGCCAGCCACAATCTCAATAGTAGCCCGTGGCATATATAAGAAGGGCCTATGACTGTACCACCTCGGGATACAGCAACAGCCCGGTGCAGCACCAAGAACAGCCGGGTACATGCCCAACAATAGCCGGGTGCATCACCAACAACAGCCCGGTACCGAGGTGTTGGTTCCGGGTGTGGCCTAGATGGCAGAATCGACTTTTCCTGCCTCAACACCATGCTGTTTACGTTGGGAGAGAATAGCCCGCAAGAAGAAGCCCTGGCTAGAGCGGGGCTGCGTGAGTCTCGCTATGCTGCCGACGTACTCGAAACTATAAACTGCCTTTATTGGGCAACTCTCCGCGTCTGCACTGCATAGACGAGAAGAAAAACAAAGGCAAGGGCGGCGGCATTCTCGGCCTGATTTAATTGCCCTCGTTCAAACAAGGCAGGTCCTCAACTGCCATCTCCTTGTCCTTTTGGCCACCACAATCGAGCTGTTCCTACAAGAGCCCCTCCCTTCCCCAAGCATAACGAGGGACCTGCACACTGCTTCTAGATGTCGAACTGTGCCTTGTTTTCTCGGAGCGGGCTCTGTGTCTGCTGGTACGCCGTGTTTGCAGATAATTGACCACCCAACGAGTATCAAATGTATCTAAGACGACCAAGATGAAGCGCCCCATGGTGGCAGCGTCTGTCTTGCTGCTCGCATCAGCGAGGGTCACTGCACATGTAGGCGCCCCCATACGCGTCGGCATCCGAGAAGAAGCGAGAATCAGGGGCCTTTTGCGATAGCAACTTTCGAGGTGGATTTTGCCTGCAACCACCACGTACTGAGAGATGCTATTACCACCCGACCGTATAGCCTGGATCACTGTGCGGCTTGACCTCAGCCTGAAGGAGCTGGGCACCGACACTGTCGACCTTGCATATCTTCATGCTGCCGTACGTTACAGCCCATCGACTCGGCGAATTCGCTTTGCTTCCGGCCCGCCGCCGCGTCCTTGGCCAGGCCCGAAAGCCAATCGGCCGGACCGCTCCAGTTCTCGTCGATGTTGGCGTCGACTCCGTCGTTGCCGGTGGCCACCACCGTCAGCACCCCGTTGGCGAACGCGTTGTGCACCGCCGTGTTGAACGCCTCCGAATACGGCCCGCCCAGCGACATGCTGATCACTGACGTGTTGGCCCGCCCGGACGCGGTGATGTTTTGACTGCCCACGTGTACCCATCGAGCACGATGGCCGTGGTTGGCTGTTGTTGGGAAAGCTGTTAGTAGGAGAACTTGCGATATAAAACGTGGCTCTACTCTATACCAACCTTTCCACCAACAACAGCTGATACTTCATGCTTGTTTGCCAAAAAGAAACGGTTGCCTGTATAGCTCCCCCGACATGAGACCATGACTTCTTTTTGGGCCTTCCACGGCCCTTGGCCTTTCCGCCGTCGTCATGGTCGTTGTCATCATCATGAGCTTTGGATAACGATTTTGCCTCTCTCCGGTGGATCCACCACCGCATCATCGACACCTTCCTTCTCGAGTCAGCTCGGCGGAGGACTGAAGAGGTTTGGTTGATTGGGAAGGGCAGTGGCCGTGCTGGAATGATTCGGCGAGCTGCTAGAATTAGTTCTGGTTTGGAAAACCGTGGGCACTCTCCGCCCCCAGTCTAGCGAGTGCAATATTTGCGTCCATGTCGTCAAGGTAATCCTGGGCTGATTCCATGCCCTTGCCTGAGAACGCCCTAGTTTAGGATGTAACAGGAATGGTATAATATTGTGGCCTTGTCGGCCCGAAGTCTAGCGACGGGATCGTGGACAAGTAAAGGAATCCTCTCAATTGACGAGGATCAGGCGGCGCGTCCAAGTATCAATTATGAACGATTCTAGGTTGAACGTCCGACTACGTCCAAGGCGTTTGGGATCCGAGTCGGGATCGGAACGTTGGAATAACGGTATACGCGAGGCGCCAATTATTTGTCTCGAATGGATTTGTCCGGGGTCTCCGGATTAGTACTAAAGAGTTCGTAGGGTGCAGTCGAATTCCCGAGGCGATGCTTGTCGGACCGTCTGTTTGGGAGGAGTCCCTCTGGGTGCCCGTTACCCTGGGATTGAATTTGGGTCAAAGGAAAAAATTCGGGACTTCCTTTGGATTTTTTTTTTTACGTCCCTCGGATGTCCAGACTGTTCCAGAACCTTTGGGCAAGGTCCTCACGCACCTACTGTTGGATTGGCTATTGTCAGATGGACAAGGGTTGCATGTGGAATAGAGCTCATCCCAGCTGAGCTCTGGTGTGGTCATCCGAGGTGAAAAGAGGCTCAGGGGAGCTGAAATGAAGTGGCCAGTTCAGCTGGTGTGGCTACTTTTGCCACCACCATTGCCACCATTTACAACTATAATAGAGGCCCTCTGGCAGGACCAAAAAGAACAAGGAGGGAGATCAATAAAGAAAGTTGAGGTGCTGAATCCAACACCTACTACGGCAAAGAAGATTTGCTAAGGTTCGCGTCGGTGCACTATGTGCGGTTGTCCAGTTCGCTCCTTTCTAGGAACCAGAGGTTTCTCCGAATTTCCTATCGGAGAATTTCTGAGAGGGGTTCGAATTCCAGGGCTCTCAACCTTTAGAGATTTCGCAAAGTAACTTGTCCTCGGGCAGGCTCGTCGCCCCGTGCTCTCTGAGATTCTTCTGTGGCTCCTCCGCAAACCCGTCTGGGCAGCCTTGGTTGGGCGATCCCAAGGCTCGAACCTCGAGCCGGGGGCTCGGTGGTGGGGTCCAGCCCAATTCCCCACTGTAATGAGATGGTAACAAGCGTATTCCGCGTATCAGAGATACAACCGGCCGTATTCGTATGTATCCCAAGCGTATTGGGGCTGCACCGCAGCCGGGAAAGAGTCTCGGGTGAAGGTGGTCATCTTTCCTCGATGCTTCAGCGCGGGGCGTGTCCTTGGTCACGTATTGTTATTTGTCTTGATGTAGCGGTGTCTTGTTCCCAGGGTGGGACCGCACAGATTGCGTCGCTCGCCAGCAGCAGAGAGATTTGATGATTTTGATGGCCGAAATGACTGACTCGCCTATCGATGAGACTTTACGCACGCTTCTAATTAGAGCAGAAACACTCGGCGGTTAGTCTACTATGAAAAGAACAGTGTGGAATAGCTTGTTCCCTCTAAAACTACAGGCCGAAGGCCACCAGCTATGAAGCGCGATTCTTGGTGCGGAGTATACACTAACCCTGAGGATAATCCTGTGGTGGGGCTTTCAGCGCCAAGACCGCCTTAGCCAACCTCGTCCGCGACGCCATCGCCTTAGCCAACCTCGTCCGCGACGTCATCGCCCTAGCCAACCTCGTCCGCGACGCCATCGTCAGGCGCCACAAAGACGGCCGGCACCCCGTCGCGCTCGCCCGCGCCGTGCAGCACGTCCGCTTCCTGTAGACAGGGTGACCCACCTTTGCAATCGCCCCACTTTGCAATTTTTCCCCCACACCGCCAACTTCCTACTCTCTACCTTCCACCACCAACAACTTCCTCAATACTGGTCGGAATAGCCTCAAAATACGATGGTTCGACGCGTACGAGAGCGGCTAATAGCCGAGGCTATTGAGGCTATTGATCAGGGCGCTCAGCAGAAGGAAGTAGCGCGCCTATATAGGATCCCTGAATCCACCCTCAGCAGACGACGCCGTGGACAACAGGATCCACGACAAGCCCAAAAAAACACCCAGAAGTTAACTGACGGCCAGGAAGCCTTCGTCGCCGAGTGGGCTCTTGAGAAGGAAGCTGCAGGGCGTGCCCCAAGTCGTGCACAGCTAAGACGATTCGCACAAGCGATCCTGAACGAAGCCGGGCTCCCTGGGCGAGTTGGTGAGCGCTGGGTAGATCGGTTTTTTACCCGCAACCCCAGGGTAAAGGCCAAGTTAGGTACCTTATTAGAACGGTCTCGAGTCAAAGGATCTACCCGTGAGAGATTCCAGGATTTTTTTGATCGTTTGGAAGCTGTAATTAAGGACAAGAAGCTGGTACCTGCGAATATCGCCAATATGGACGAACATGGCATGCAAGAGACGGAAACTACGGTTGGGAAGGTGATTGGCGATGCCCTCACATCTCGGGCAGTCCTGACTGGCCCTGATCCAACGACCTGGGTCAGTATTATCGAGTGTGGTACCGCTGAGGGCAAGCGATTGACTCCCGTAGTGATCTTTACGGGTGAAAATCTACAAGGCCAACACTTCCCGGATAACTTCAAGGAACTACCAGTCCTCAAGACCTGGAAGTACGACTGTACGCCCACAGGCTGGAGCAATAGCAAAATAGCTCTTATGTGGCTCAAGGAAGTATATCTTCCTCAAACAAAGCCCCAAAGGAAGGACGATTGGCGCCTATTAATCCTCGACGAACACGCTACTCATATCGACGAAGACTTTATGCTTCTAGCTAAAAGAAACCGCGTACACCTACTATACTTGCCTTCACACACTTCTCACAAGACCCAGCCACTCGACCGGTCTGTCTTTTCGGCTTTGAAGTCCTATTTTCGCCAAAGAACCCTCGAATTGGCTTCCTTCACAGCCTCAGCACCTATCAACAAGCAACGCTTCCTTTTTTGCTACCGGGACGCCTCAGCGCAGGGTATGTCAGCCCGGAATATCATATCCGGCTTCCGGAAGACTGGAATCTGGCCTTTCCAACCCGCTCGTATACTTGACGACCCCGAGGCGGTCCGGGACGAAGCTGCAAAACCAGTCCCCCCATCCACACCACCCCGGAAGACCCGGGCAACCCGGAACGACCTCTTCAATACACCTCAAGGTAGTCACGACGTCCGCAGGCAACAGGGCTTAGCCAAGACGGCCACTAGTCCCCGAGATAGGGTCGTCAGAACTATGTTGACGAAGGTAGGGAGGGCACTTGATCAGAAGAATACGGAAATCGCTGCTTTGAAGGCAAAAAACGACTTCTTAGCCAACGAGTTGGAATCCAAAAAACCCTATTCACGTAAAAGGGTCAAAATAGACGCCAACGACAGATTTGCTACTATTGACGAAATTGACGAGGCTCAAAAAGCTAGTCAAAAGCCTCCCAAGAAGAGATCCAAGAAGACCAAGTCCAGGCCTGCACACTTGGTCCAGGAAGCTGAAGAAATTATCGCCCGTGGGCTTGAGCAATATAGGGCGATTGACGAAGACTAGAATGTACTTTTTTCTATAGAATTTGGCCTACAATTGAGTATTTTGACGATTCTTGTGGTGGGCGGTGATGGTGGTGGGCGATTGCAAAGGGGGGCGATTGCATAAGTGGGTCGCCCTGTCTACTTGACAGAGCACCCCGTAGCGAAGCCCATGTCCGCGGACAACACGCGGGCCATCCGCCTCTTCACGGACCGCAGCACGCCCACCCGCTGCACCTCAGCACCTGCACGCCATGTTCTGCGTCATATATGCGAACCACCACGCCACTTTAGATAGGGCGACGGACAGCCATGTGATGTTGATGAGCACCCCGGGCGTCCAGACCACCATCTTCTTCGGGATCCACCTGCCGTTGATAATGCGGGTGTACTCGAGCTTCTCATCCGAAGATACTGTGCAAGGTCAGCAATGCCGGCAACACAAGGCATCATAGTCCAAGGTGGTGGTGGCGAAATAGGTGGCAACGTAGGCCGCGAAGTGGGTCGCGATTTGGGCTGCAAATCCTCTGCCTGGCTGCCCGAAGAGAAGGTGGAGAGAAGGAAGGACATGACATTCGGTGATAAGTTGAGCCCTCTCCCCGTCGAGGGCAAGGCGGTCAGTCTGTCAAGCCGGTCCGTCTGTTGACTCTCGCCTAGGCCAAGCCTAGAACGGAAGAGACAGTGCGTTTCGGGAATAAGAAGAGAGGGGGTAGGAAAGGCGCGGCGACCGAGGACGCCGAGGACGCAGAGGAGGAGGAAGAGGAGGGTCTGCATGGTTCTCTGCGATCAAGAGGGCTTTGGGTGGCACGTTTGGGTATTTGCTTAGATTAGCCCACTGTCTTGATACCCCAACGAGGACTGGTAATCAACCCCAACGAGGCTGGCAATCAACCCCAACGAGGACTAGCAACCAATCATACGTGGCAGGCGTCATACACTGAAGCATACATGGCAGGCGTCATGCACTGAAGCATACACGATTACATGTACACAGACAAGCTCAAGGCATCGAGGAGACAGTAAGCACAGTTGTGAATGAGATAAGCTATATATCTAGTACTAGCTAACCTACTGTTGGTGGTGCACACGGCTGTTGTTGGTGGTGTACCGGGCTTTTGTTGGAGTGTACCCGGCTGTTGTTGGTGTGCACCGAGCTGTTGTTGGTGCACCGGGCTGTTGTTGGTGCACTGGGCTGCTGTTGGTGATGTACCGTCTTGGACATGAGAGCGGACGTGATGGGCTATTGCCGGTGTCCTGTTGCTGGGTCTCGAAATGGTGTAGTCCTAGGTCTGTCTTACATGTGCCAGCCAGTGGGTTGCCGTAGAGATTGTGGCTGACAGACGTTCAGGGCGTCCCTAGCTGCCGGCGCCGAACTGAGTGACAGACAAGTTCTGAGTTCGGGCCGCACCGAGGATGTGTGATGTGCTCCCGAGGTGGTGTAGTTATAAGTCTTGCATGTGCCAGCCAGCAGAGTTCTGCAGTGACGTTCAGAGGTTCTGAGCTGCCAGCGCCTGAGGGAGTGCCGGACCCGCAGTTCTGAGTTCGGGCCACTGAGGATATGTAGTGTGCTTCCGAGGTGGTGCAGCCACGGCCGTCTTGCATGTGCCAGCCGAGAGCCATCGACCGAGTGCCGGAGCAGTTCCAACTTCAGGGCGTGCCGAGCATCTGTAATGCGATCCCGAGGTGGTGCAGTCACGGCCGTCTTGTATGTGCCAGCCAGCAGTGTTCTAGGGCGTGCCGAGCCGCCGACGCTCCCTTTTCAAGGGTTAGTCCAGATGCAGTTGATGGCCATCTGCCCCTATGACGCCAGAGTGGGATCCGCTGATTGGCTTGTGGGAGACACAGGTCAAGTCAGCTAAGATCTCGATGGACTCTGAGGGCCAGAGGGGACTCTGCTCTGTGGTCAGGGTTTTCTTGGGCGGGAAGGTACTGAAGAAGACAAAGAGGAGTTGTATTATGGAGTTGTATTATAAAGGGCGTAAGTACAAAGAGTGGTGTGTTACGAACCGCGCCCTCACTGGGCTAGTCGTAGCTGGGGAAGGAGGCTAACTAATAAGGAAGGCAACAGAGGCATGTGGGGCTGGGGCCCACAACTGCTCCGTGTGGTGGGATACAGAGCAACAATTTGGTTGGCCCTGCAGAATGCTCTGTTGCCCTATCAGGGAGCAACAGAGCAACGCTCTAATGGGTCCGCCCTAGATAGATATATACGATGACCGTACACGGTCTTAGATAGTTCTTGCTTGGTTCTTCAAGCAAGCAATACATTTTCACTACACTCATATACTTTGAGTGACATTCCGATTTGACTGTATTACCCGTGCGATAGGAGCTTGCTCTTTGTTCCATCTTCATAATTACCAAACCTCAGCATTCTGTGGAGCCCGTGCTCCCTTACAGACAGACGACCCAGACAGTCGAGTAGTTTGTAATAGTGTAGTGATGATCTCTTTCTGGTGCGGGAAATTGAACTCCTAGACCGGTTGCCTAATGCTAATCTCATAGCTGGAGTGTAGTTGACTATAGTACAGCCCTGCCTCCTGACTCTTTGTTGTGCACGATTGAACTCCGGACCGATTCGCCTTATGCTAATCTCATAGCTAAAGAGTGGTTCTGCTTCATGCTCACAATCATGTGCCAAGTCACAGCAGGTGCCATGACAGGAGCTGGAAGCACGTGCCGAGTAGCTGTGGGCGTGTTCTGTGCGTAGCTCTGATACGTGATCCACAACCCACCTCGTCCCGCACAAGCATTGGCTTTCTTTGCTTATCTTTTCTTTCCTTGGCTTTAGATTACCGGTTTCCCTAATTCTAATCCCGAGCTGAAGAGTGTGGTGCTGCTTCATGCCTACGATCATGTGCCAAGCTGAAATCTGGAGTAGGTTATAGTATGGCCACGCATCCGTAAGCCTGCCCACAGCGCCCAAGTTGATGTGCGGTGACAGTCTGACTCTTCATTGTGCGAGAAATTGAACTGCTAGACGGTTTCCCCAATCCCGTAGCCGAAGAGCGTGGTTTTGCTTTGTTGTGCGGGAAGTTGAACTCCTGAACCGGTTTCCCTAAATCCTATAGCTGAAGAGTGGCTCTGCTTTGTGGTCACGTACCCGTAGGCCTGCTCACAGCGCCCAAGTGGTTGTGCGGGACTGAACCCCCGAACTGGTTTCCAATGCGCTTAAGTTGATGTGTGGTGACAATGTGGCGGGGTTGCCCTTCACATGACTGTTCCCGTAGTTGAGCCCGTATAGAGGGACACGATGAAAATACGCCCCTGATACTCGGCAGCTAATTATGTTGTACCTTTCAATGAAAATACGCCCCTGATATTCGGCAGCCAATTGTATGGTACCTTCTAATGAAAATACGCCGCTAATACTCGGTAGCCAACTATATCACATCTTCTAATAAAAACACGTCCCTAACTCGGTAGCTAATTGCATTGTACCTTCTAATGAAAACACGCCCCTAATACTCGGCAGCCAACTGTATTACAACTTCCAATTCAACAAACAAGCAGGGACCATGGCGCATCTGGTTAGCGCGTAGGCCTCATATGTCTCAGCACATGATCTGATTAAACATCAGAGTTAACCTGAGGTCGTGAGTTCGATCTTCACTAGTCCCAGAGCAAAGCAAAGAGCAGCAAGTCCTGCTCAGAATCTTTTTCAGTTTCTGTGGCGGGGTTACCCTGCACATATGACTGGGAACGTAGGTATTAGCCCCGCCCTGAGGATTTCGCCCACAGATTCAGTAGGGAGATTTCCTCCTAGAATTAGTTTTTCAATGCACACATTGTCCACCCACACAGCTTTCATGTGGCGTTGATTAATCCAACGTGATGACTGTTAAATCTTTGTCGTGCACTGTAGGTACATCGGCGCCAAGCGTTACAGCTCACCGCCTATGAAAATACCACATTTTATAGCCAAAATTACCACTTTCGCTAGCTGCACCGCTCTAAGCACTGGCAGCGCAATTGTACCCCAATTGCACCTCGCCGCCGTCGCCAGCGTCAACACACTTCCGAATGTGGTAATTCCAGCCCAGGGCCGTAGAATCGCTCAAATCGTTCAAATCTGTAATAAAAACTGCGGCCTGTCACAACTGCTCACGAGTACTAATCCATACCTTCCAATGCCCGGGCACTCGGTTGCGGGACCCTTCTACTTCGTGTAGGCCTTACAACACGACCTTCGAGGACAAGGTAGGGCAAAACAAGGAAACAAAAAGCAGCCAGCAAGAAAAGCACTCTGAAGCAAGCAAAGACGGGAAGGAGAAAGCAGGCCGCTACCTCACCTTCCACACATAGCAAAGGGACGGGATTGCCCCAGTACCGACCTGAAGGGGTCGCCGACTGCTTGTGCTTGAGAATGATGTAGCAACGGCTTCTGCAGCAACGGCGACAAGTTTTAATACTTGCACATCGGCCCGCAGTCAAAGCTGCCGCCGTGCCCGCACTATATGATGTCTCGGAGTGGCCTAGAAACGTCATCCTCTCCGCAGGCCAAGCGGAGAACGTGCTTGAGCCCGGGCTCGGCAGGATCGAAGAGGGTGTGGTAACCAGGTCGGCGGGTATGGGGAGCGGCTGCTGACATTGTGGCTGCAGGATGAGCTTCATGTTAGCAATTAGCCGTTTGGCGGTTGCAACGCCCTGCTCCACTAGCCTCTGCTGCGTGCTAGGGGAACTGTATTCGTCAGAGACATTGTTTGCGTAAGGAGCCTCGTTTCTCCCCTTTCCGCCGTGACACGCCTTGCTGACCTACTTATTCTCGCAGCAAGTCCAATCGCCTCGAAATATAGCGTGTCGTCGATGGAATGCTCACCATAGTCCATTCTAAGGTCATTAATGGCACTATCTGGATCTTCTAGAAGCTGAGACTAAAAGACTCGCAAACAGACCTGCTCTTCATCGGCACCTAGCGCTCTGAGTACTTCACGCCAGCTTAGAACCCGCAAACCTCCCAGCTCGACACAATAGACCCCTTCAAGGATCCAGGCAAACATCACATGCGCGAGTCCTTGAGCCACAACCGATGTCTCGTCGACCGAAAAGGCTATCATCATCAGCTATCAAAAAAAAAAAAACTTTCCCCTGCCAGTTACCGGGGATTGTATATCATTCGCCTATTACGCCCCTAAGGACCACCTTTCAACCATTGCAGAATAAGAATTCTTTGTCGTCTGGGCAAATGGCCTAAATATTGAGGTCAGGAGAGCCCGGAGTGGCGAGACAGTGTGTATAGGGTAGACAGCAACGAGACTTGTGACGGCGGGGCTCAGCACCTACTGCCGCTACACCACACCTTCCAAACGGATGCCAGAATTGCAAGCTGCCAAGCTGCAATCTGTAGTAGGTTATAGTATGGTCACGCACTCGTAGGCCTGCCCACAGCGTCGATAGTGATGATGGTGACGAGGGTAGTGTAGAGAATAAGGAAGGCGGTGGCTGGGAGGCACGCAAAGAAGAAGAGGATAATGTGCGGTGACCATCTGACTCTGTTGTGCGGAAATTGAACTCTAAGACGGTTTCCCTGATGCTAAATGCGCCCGAAGAGGGTGGTTCTGCTTCATGGTCAGCACTCGTACGCCTGCCCACAGCGCTTACGTTGATGTGCGGTGACAATCTGACTCTATTGTGCGGGAAATTGAACTCCGGAACAGTTTCCCTGACGCTAATCCCATAGCTGAAGAGCGTGGTTCTACTTCATGCCCATAGCTGAAGAGTGTAGTTCTGCTTCATGCCTATAGCTGAAGTGATTCTGCTTCATACCCACTGTCACGGCCACCACCGTAGACCCCTCTATGCAGCCGACTCCTCCATGCAGCTGACCCCGCACTAGCCCCAATCGGGAATGTAGGTCCTGGCACCCAAAAAGCAGCGTGGGCCCGTGCGCTGCCCCGCTCCCACAACAAGCCTGCACACGAACAACTATTACGTAATAATGCCTTCCTGACCGAATTTTGCCACCAGCTTTGAAACCAACAACGCCTCAAACAAGGCCGAAACGATGATCGGCCCAAATAGAGGCCTACATTGTGGCCGAAATATCGGTCTTCTGTTCGAGGGATAAATAAGGCATTCCTTTCCTCTTTTGTTTTCCCAAAACAGATTAGAGCGAAAGACACTTCAATTTAAGCTGTTTTTGTGCGCAACAGCTGGCGCTTAGCGAGCCGAACCAGAGAAGAGAGCCACCAGCAACTTCGCAAGACACAAAAAAACTACGAAGCAAAGAGGAAACGCATTTCTTAATTCTATTCCTACTCACTCTCAATTCCATTCCTGCTCACTCTCGAATTCCGGCCTTCAGACACTGCACATCACTAGGCGCAATAGTAAATGGCGTCTGCTCCCCGTCTCCGAGTTCCGCCCAAGGAGCCAGAGGCGCGCAAATGGCGGGGAATAGAAGACGACGCATCCGGGTCCGGGTCCGGTGAGGCAGGACGCCCGGCTCTTCTCTCGTTTAATAAGATGCCGGAATGGTTTCAACACGACAACAACAAGTGGATTCTTCACGGTTACCGGCCCATATCGGGCTCGGTTCGCGCCTCGTTCCGCAGTTGGTGCCATCTCCACAACGAGACGGTCAACATCTATTCCCATCTCGTTCCAGCCGTTGTCTTCCTCCTCGGCGAGTGGTATATCTTGCAGTACCTTGCTGGCAAATATTCCAGAGTTACTAGCACCGATTTTGTTGCTTTCTCATTCTTCATGCTTACGGCGACCATTTGCTATGCATCTTCGGCTCTTTATCATACTTTGATGAACCACTCTCGCACCGTGGACCATTTCTGCCACCGACTAGATATGCTCGGTATAGGGATCTTCATAGTCGGTGACATTGTCTTGGGAGTATATATAATCTTTTGGTGTGAGACTACGCTACGCAATATTTATTGGTCTATGGTTAGTTGATCTCCATATGCTCAGCCTTTTCTGTCCCAGGACTGGTAATCGAATCTAACACCGTCCTTGTCGGTCAATAGATTGGGGTTTTCGGGGCATTGACCATCATCACGAACATGCATCCCAAGCTCCAGAGCCACAAGTATCGCCCCATGCGGACACTAGCGTTTGTGGCGACTGGCATGTCCGTTGTGGCGCCCTTGATTCATGGGCTCGATACATTCGGGCTAGACCTGATGAAAAAAAAAGCCTTCACCTATACTATGGTGGCAAAGATAGGCTGCCTTCTATCTGGAACCGCGCTTTATGTAGTGAGTCTCCCATTTTGTCTATACGGAAGAAGAATTGATCCTAATACACATGATTGGAAAGATGAGGTTTCCCGAAAGTTGGTGGCCTGGAAAGTTCGACATGTGTAGCTCCCACTCATTCATGCACATCCTAGTGGTCTGCGCCGCTGTTATCCAGATGATGGGGTATCTGGGAGCCTTCGACTATGCTTACTCGAATATTACCTGCTCGGCCTCTTGAGTTACTACCTCTTGTAGAGCCTCTAACCACCGGGACAAGCGGCGACCTTCCAACCTAGGTAGCGCTGTTGGCCTAGGTAGCGCTGTTGGAGATTCTGGCAGCAAGGTGCTTTTGGGAGCCAGGAATGTTGACATTCATAACGAAGGAGAGAATATTCACTCCAGGGCCCTAGGTTCGTCAGTAATGGTTCGGAACGCTTAGGATTGAGGGCGTGGCAGTGTGTCAGTGGTCTGTTGTAAGGAAAGGACACCCCAAACACCAGCCGCGCGCACAGGGTGCGCGCTCACCACCTGTTACCAACTGGCCGGAACACTGCCAGTTGGCACAAGCCACTACGCCACGCCACGGCGCCCCGGGCCTGAACCCCTGAGCACGTATATAAACAGTGGCCCTCGCCTACCTTCCTTTGCGAGGGCCAGGTTGAAGTCTCACACCAATACTACTCATTGCTCGCCCACCTTCTTACCTGCATTGTGACCACCTTGATCCGGCGTACCTGCCTTCTCTTACATCTGTTTTGTTATGGCAACGTCATAAGGTTCTTTTCCGGGAGAGATACAAGGGGATCAGCATGTGCCTTGCCGGCTGCTAGTGCCCGCCCTCCTAGCCTCTCCTCTTCTTGGCTGGAATATCCTGCCCTTAGTGTTCAATTGTGACGAACCTGGTTCGTACTGGACCAGCTGCAGGAAGCGGGCGCCTCAGGCATGACTGGGGACCCCGCTCGTCGCTTGAGCCAGTCAGACGGTGCCCGGTGCCAAGAGGGCTCTTGGCACCAGGCAAACGGAAGGACGGCCAATCAGAGGTGGCCCGGTGCCAAGAGGGGTCTTGGCACCAGGCAAATGGCCCGGCACGCTAGCAGTGCCCGGTGCCAGGCAGCTCCTTCCTGCCGGGCAAGTAAGAGCTGTGCTCTTACTGGCCCGCCACAATTAGATAAATACAATGACCGTGTCCACGGTCTTAGATAGTTCTTGCTTGGTTCTTCAAGCAAGCAATACACATTCACTGCACTCATACACTTTGAGTGGCATTCCGATTTGACTGTATTACCCGTGCGATAGGAGCTTGCCCTTTGTTCTATCTTCATAATTACCAACCCCAGCATTCTGTGGAGCCCGTGCTCCCTTACAGACAGACGACCCTAACAGTCGAGTGGTTTGTAATAGGCGGCTCTGGCTGCTTGAGGGCCAGTTTGGTGGACGGGTCCTCACAGTAACGATTCTCCTCGAAGACGCTATGTTACGATCCTGGTTCAGGCGCGCAGGAGGCTGCACGGAGCCTCCCACTATTGGCTGACGCAAGGAAGTGGGGTAGTTCCCCACTCCGCTCAAGTGCAGCCAATAACGGGGCGGTCAGTACGATCAGCATGGTCAGGGCGATCAGTGGGGGAACTGATCGCGCTGAGCACACTGACCGCACTGAGCTCACTGATCACCTAGGACCAACTCTCTGATTGGTCCGCCTTAGATAGATATATACGACGACCGTAGCCACGGTCTCAGATAGTTCTTGCTTGGTTCTTCAAGCAAGCAATACACATTCACTGCACTCATACACTTTGAGTGGCATTCCGATTTGACTGTATTACCCGCGCGATAGGAGCTTGCCCTTTGTTCTATCTTCATAATTACCAACCCCAGCATTCTGTGGAGCCTGTGCTCCCTTACAGACAGACGACCCTAACAGTCGAGTGGTTTGTAATACGCTAGTATCGATGATCTGGTACTCCGTGTCTTCCTTTATCCGCCTGGCGTTCTCTTTGATGAGATCGTCGTAAGGGAAAGCCTTTTGCGGGTATTTATAGAGAAATTTCATATATGAATGCTATTGATTGTAAGCCCCTGCCGTTTCCTATTAGTTTGCGGGGAGTCTTATCGTCTGCGTCGGTGTTACGATCCTGGTTCAAAGGTGCAGAGGGCGCTGCCCGCCTTCTGTGGATTGGCTGGAACAGCATTTAAGGTGGGGGGCTCTCGCTCAAAGGTGCATCCAATGAGGGAGTGCTCAGTGGGGCCATTGCCGAGAGCCACTGAGCGCACTAAGCGGGGAGCTCAGTAGGCTCAGTGCCGGAGACCCACTGAGCGCACTGAGCGGGGAGCTCAGTAGGGATCAGTGCGTCTAGGAACTGAGCACGACTGAGCATGTGAGTCAGGAACTCTGATTGGTCCTCCTTAGATAGATATATACGACGACCGTAGCCACGGTCCCAGATAGTTCTTGCTTGCTTCTTCAAGCAAGCAATACACATTCACTGCACTCATACACTTTGAGTGGCATTCCGATTTGACTGTATTACCCGTGCGATAGGAGCTTGCCCTTTGTTCTATCTTCATAATTACCAACCCAGCATTCTGTGGAGCCCGTGCTCCCTTACAGACAGACGACCCTGACAGTCGAGTGGTTTGTAATAGTCGGTTATAAGTTAGCCTCGAGGTCAATTGAGTTTCTAGGTACGGGGACTGAGCTTACCGGTGTGTTATCTAGATGGAAGTGGGGCTCTTTGATACTCTCGCCATGGTTGCCTTACAGGTTGGACCAACCAAACAGCCTCTCCTTGAGGAAAGAGCTAAGGGCAGTCAGTAAGCTGTTCCGTTACAGTATTGAAATTGGCTGTTGGTGGGGTCGTAATCCTTCTCGTTCCAGAACGCAAAGGCAATGTTTTAGAGCCTACATATATCACAGACGCCGGCAATGCCATCTTCGCCCCACCGGTATGTGCGTGATCGGGCGTAGTTGTGTAGAAAGTCTACCGGATAACCGTGGTGAGATATATACAAGGACGGAAGGGGTCGGGTCGGGTGGGGGGAACATACGACTCTAAGCGTCACTATCAGCGCTATAATCCTCTCTTATTATCGCCCATTGTCTCTCGGATATATAGGGGCCCCACTTCTTCCAGTATTTGACGCGGTTACGGTCCTCCTTGAGCCTCTTCTCTTCCTCGGCGAGGTACTCGTGGTTGTCGAAGACGACCATAGCGGCGGCGGCAGCTGTGCGCGAGAAACTGCGATAAACGTTGGGTTGTATGCGGGCGATGAGTGTTGCGGGTTGCGTGCCACGATCGATCTATGAGATCGACGATCTTTTTTCTCGGAGCAGCTCTAACCAACGTTAAAAGCTTAGAGACGGTACTCGGGTTAGCGACCAAACCGAGCGTTGTCAAGCGGCGAGGTAAGTCCCTATCTACTTCTTGCCACAAACACTCAAGGTAGCCAGTATAGAGCGCCTCACCGCTTAGATTCCAATGGCTAAGAAAGCGAAACCTAATAATTAATAATAGGCGAATAGTAGACAAGTTATCTTGAAACGCTGCCCTACCGAACCTCAAAGTTGTGTCTCCGGCAAAATGTTGGGCGAACGGGCGGCGAGGGTAGCGTAGTAGGTGGTTGGCTGTGGAGGGGTCACTCGCATGTGTTGGTTAGAGGCTGGATTCTACCTTAGCAGGCGGCCCTGGGCGCTGACTCTCTTCCGTTCTCTTCTTAACGTGTGCAAGGGCCAAGAGTGGTGTAGCACAGTGCCAATACGTGCTGTCGTTGAACTGTCATGGCCCGTGCGCTTCCCAAACCCACTCAGGACAAGGTAAGGCGGGGGGCAGGTACGAAGGTACCTTCAGTATTTAAGCTGAGGTTTAGTCTGGCTGGCGGATTCTCCCTACTCCACCACTCACTTTGTGGCTTCCCATGGTCGCCAGGTCATTATTATTATATATGATATACGGAGACAGGGAACTGTCAACCTCTTATTGTGTTATACCGGTAAGCGAAAGGAGTACGGGTTAACCATTGTCAAAGCCCAGCGATGCATCTCCGCAATTGCACAGCCCGACCTTCTTTGGAATCTCCCTCTCAAACGCCGGCCTAACCTAACTAAATATGTTCAGCAGCTACTATCATTAACCGCCTATACGATTTGACCCGCCAAACATCATTATTTAATATTCTTATCTTCATTACTTCCCCCTTCACTCTACCACTGAGCCGCCAAGCATCGTTATCATAGCCTCAGCCGCCCGGACGGTTCTATATTCTAGGCCGTTCAAGTATCGGTTCTAGATGGCTTCACGCAGTATGGACGAGGGCGGGGTTGCCGCCATTGGCCCCAGCTCTACCTTCTTCAAGAAGTTTGACGACTATCCCTGGACCCGCGATCGCGCGTTCTTGGTAAGCTCAGAAGCACCAGCATAACCAACCCATGCCGGTAACATATTTATGCCCGCAAACGGCTAACTCATCACCCCTCCGTCACAGCAACGACTGGTCGCCATGCTCGGCCCCGTGAAGACCAACGGCAACGCGGCTAACAAGGAGAGGGCCCTGGGAATCACGCTGCAGGCCCGTATCTGGTGGTACCAGAGCCGCTTTGGCGTCTCCATTGACCGCGCCGCGTACGAGGCGTACGAGCTTTTTGAAGCCTTGTCTTCGGGACCAGATGCCGCCATTATCGCCAAAATCGAGGACATCCAGCAACGCATGGGCCAGGGAGGCGCTCTTCCGCCCAGCCCTGCGCAGGCCATGGGCAATCTTCCCGCCTGGCAGACCCAGGCTTTCCAGAAAGTCGATCTCGGCAAAAAGGCTGACGACGGCGTGAGTGGCAGCCGCCCCGACGGTGGCGCCCCGTATCCTGCCAACTTCCAGTCCATCATTGAGGCTGTCACCACTGGTAAACCAGTTCCTAGAGTCCGTGAGATTCCCAACACGGTTGTTCGGCAGGAGGTTTGTTCTACCCGCCTAGTCTCTTTCTTTTGTCGCCCCCTCAATCTTACTTCTCTCTCACACGATAAATATTATCAATCACCCTTTCTAACCTGCAATCAATATCTCCAGGGAGTCTACCCTATCGGCAAGATGAAGCCGCCTCTGAAGCCTTGGGAGAAAGCAAAGGGGGTGACCACGCCTGTCAAGCCTAGACAGAATGTCATCGACCAGGAGTTTCCCCCGGTGTGATGGCTCAGGTAGTTCTCCTGTTGGAAAAAACCTTGAGATTGTAGCTTTGATATGATAGGACAAAATAACGGATACCCGGATACTACTGATTTTACTGATGGGGGAGAAGAAACAAAGACAAGGCACAAAACCTAGATATGATTTCTTTGGTGTTTCTTTTCAGCCTTAGGGCTGTTCACATACGCATCATCATCAACAACAGGAGGAACATGTCTTATCGCAGCATCGTCTATGAGTGTTTAGTCAGCTCGAGTCTCTTGTTCATCTCTATCTTCTACTAGTTGAGACGGCAGTTTAATTAATCGGGTACCTAATTTACTCATCACCCAGGCTCATGTGCTATAATATTAAATAAAACGCTTCCTCCCAAAATAATACCAGACGCACATGTGTGAGCGATTAGACACTAGATGATTGCGTTGATCTAGTGGACTGAACCTATGATGTGGTTATGCTAGCATATTACATATCCTCCATACGGCCCAAACTTGGAACTGCTCCGGTACTCGGTCACCCTAAACGTCTCTTGCCAGCCACAATGCCATGGCTTCTTCCCGGAAGAGGTGCAAGAGGTGCCACCTCGGCAGCTTCTTTCTACCTAGCGACTAACAGCCGGCTGCAATGCCTGATTCGGCTGCATAGGAGGCAAGTACTTGGGCTGCTTAGTCGGCGGCCGGACGTCCTTGCCGCCCTCGGCTAACGAAATCAAGACCCCCCATCGTAACGAGAAAGTACGGATATACTTCTTCGCCCTCCCTTTTCTGTCCTCTCTGGCCGCCTTCTCTGTTCTCTTCTTCTTCTCTTGTCCGACCCCGATCTGCAAGCCTGTTTCATTCTTTCATTATCCTCATCCTTCGAGTCTTCCAGGCCGCCTTTGCGGTGGTGGTCCTGGGCCTTTCGGCCTTTGGTAGGTACTTAGCGCAACCTCTGATCGACGATTAACGGACGGCTTGGCCCGACTGACAATGGCAAACGTCTAGTCTCCAACTGGTATAATACCGACACCAAGACGTCGTCTCTGGCTCAGATCAACTTCTTGATCTTTGCTCCTCTTTGGTCGCTGCTCTCCATCGCATGCCTAGAAATGGTACCCAAGTTCTTGCCGCGGTGTGAGTAGACCCATTGGAACTCGGGTTTGGAAGTCGGGAGGGGGTGCTGACGATAACCCAGTATCGAATCCGTATGATGCCCTTGGACTCGAGACCACTAATGTGCTCTTCTAGTTTGCCGGGAGCGTTGGTCTGGGCGTCTTCATGAACGGCCTGCTATTCTGCCGCGGCGCCGTATGCAGCGCGGCCCAGGCCGACGTCGCCTTCTCGGCCGTTTTGATCTTTCAATGGGCCGCGACGGCCATTATCCCGGCCCTCGACGTGCTAAAGATGGGGTTTTGTCAGATTAGCCACATGCCAAGTCACGTGGTTGACCCCGGTCGTAGCGCCGATCCACCGCAGGGGAGGGGGGAGGCTGGTGCGCCACAACAGAAACTTCTAGAAGAACGGGCGAGAGCCAAGAATTGAAGGGACACACAAGAATACACACAATCGAACCTATCCAACCGTGCAACTGACTGAATCCAACAATTCGCAGTCAGATTCGCTACACAAGCCCTGTCACTACCGTTTGAGTCGCACGCACGGAAAGCTACGCCAATTACGACCAAAACGCCCAAAAAGAAGCGCAATGACAACCAACGCGACACAATCGACCGTGATCTTCAACGGCCCAGAGCATTGGCACGCTTGGGCTGATGCTCTCAATGCCAAGGCCACACAGGTCAACCTCTGGCAGTATTTTGAAGGCACGGAATGGCCGGAGGAGCCCACGCTTCCAGAACCAAGATACTTTGATCAAAATAGGACCACCACGACAAACTCCACGGTGGAAGACAACGACGACGAGGATGTGGAGACCCAGCTCCTACAAACAGAAGTCGATCGTATGCCACCGCCGCCGACCCACGGAATCCGCGATCTGAACAACGCCAACTACCCAAGGCTCCGTGGAGCGGCTCTCCAGAAACGACGGGAAAAAGACCAGCGTGTACGACAGGAACTGGCAGCACGACGGCACAATGCCGCGAGCCCGGCCAACGACAAGACCATCTTCTCCGAGAGAGGCAAGGAACAATACAACATGGCTGTAACGCGATACACACACGCGCAAAGACAATACGATAAGATCCAGAAGGAGGCTTCAACTCTACTAGACTGGACGTATAAGTCAGTCGCCCTTGAGTACACCCACCTGTTCCAAAACAAAGCCTGGTAGAGAGATACAAGGAACTGGGAGACTCCGCTGCCCCCTTTGCGAGGAAGGTCACGGAGGAGCTCCGCGGCGCCTACGAACAACACATGGTGGCATTTAAGAAGGCCGACAAGAAGGTGAACGAGTGGATCAAGAGATGGATGTATTTGTTGGCGAAGGCGAAGAACCACGACCTCTACGATATCACTGATCCAGAGAGATAGTGCTCCCACCTAGCCAAACGGCTCCGAGAGACTCAGCGAGGCGAGGCCTGGCTCCTCGGCGAGTTTGCAAGCTTGAGGCCCAAGATTGAGAACGGTCAGATGAGCGTTATCCAAGTAGCGGCCAAGATGCAGGTCTGCTTTGCAACCAACTCAGCCAACGAGAGAGCTGGAGAGAAGAGAAAATTCCAGGGCGTTTTTCCAAGCTACAACGGCACTAACAGCGAATTAACAGACTCCAAGACCCCAAAGAGAGAGAGCAGCACCCCGAGTCCGAGGGCGAAGCAGTCGCAGCCGTGGATCCAGCGCACGATCCTCACAAGGCCGCACGATCTAGAGTGTGGAGGAGTGTGATGTCTGCTCCAAGAACAGCCACAACGCAGAGAACTGTTACCACACGTACCCAGACAACCACCCAGACCTACCAGAGTGGTGGAACCACCAGAGTACCATCCACCAAAAGAGAGCAGTGGCACGACTTCTTAAGGTAGATCCCAGTCTTGCCGAGAGAGTTCGTAAGATTAAGGAGAACCGCGCAATGAGGTAACTAGCTACCTGTTTCGAATCCTTGTCGAAATGCGCAATAATGGGGGCATGCTCAGTTTGGTGTGGACCAATCAGGAGCGTCCCATGGAAAGAACCAATTAGGAGTGTCCCTGGGTCCCGAGGTTCGGGACCACTTAAGGTCGGGGACGCGGGACAGTGTCCCGCGCGCCCGGCGTCCCGAGACCGCAAGTCTCGGGACCACGGGCCAGTGGGACCATTGTTATTGGTTACAGTTAGATATATACGATGACCGTACCCACGGTCTTAGATAGTTCTTGCTTGGTTCTCCAAGCAAGCAATACACATTCACTGCACTCATATACTTTGGGTGGCATTCCGATTTGACTGTATTACCCGTGCGATAGGAGCTTGCCCTTTGTTCTATCTTCATAATTACCAACCACGGCATCCTGTGGAGCCCGTGCTCCCTTACAGACAGACGACCCTAACAGTCGAGTGGTTTGTAATACTACCCTCTTTGCTACGGAGGAAGTCTTCTACGCACTCATGATCAAGGCGGTCCCTTATCACATTGCCCCAAAAGAGAGATTACTCGCGTACGCAGCATTCAGCCTAGACACCTACCCTCTGAGCAAATCTACTCTCCTCGACTCTGGCGCGACTTTACACATCTTTAACAACCGTCGGAGATTCCACAACTACCGCCATGCAGTCCACGGCGAAGAAGTTGTCGCTGGCGACTCTCGGATCCGAATCCCTGGCTGGGGCACAGTAACGATCTTGATTACAAAGCCGGCAGGCCGAAAAACAAGGCTCATTCTCCCCGAAGTGGCCTACTGGGAAGGTTTCAACACCAACCTAGTATCTCTAAGGAGACTCAACCACCTCGGATACTACTTCAATAATAAGGACGACACTCTCCGGCGGCTCAAGAACAATCGTGCAATCGGCAAAGTTCTCAATCACTTTAACCAGTTTGTCCTAGAGTTTGTTCCTCTCACAGAGATGCCAGAGGCACACGACGGCGCGTTCTCTACACACAACTACACTTCATGGACTAGCCGGAAACCGAGCTGTGAGACTGGATTACTCTGGCATGGCAGACTCGGCCATCCAGGCGCAGAAGCGATCGCACACCTCCCTGTAGCCACCGAGGACGCCAAGATCCGTGGCCTAACCGGGTACAATTGCCCAGATTATGGTCAAGCGAAAGCCAAGCGCAAAATACGGCGTGTGACACGAGAGCCACCAAAAGGAGTGGGCGAGACAATCGCTATCGACTTCCTCGACCTCGCTCTAGATCCAGATGGATTGTCCTCCGTGATGCTATTCACTTGCCGAAAATCAAGCTGTGTTTGACGCCTATTTGACCGATCGCAAGATGCTTAGCACTCAACGCATAATTACTAAGTTCTTCACAATTGTCGAGAAACAACACGGACTAGTAGTGAAGAGGATTGAGACTGACAACGAGATCGTGAGAGCCAAAGCTATGGCGAGATTCTTTGCAGATCGAGGCGTAGTCGTGGAGCGCTCGGCACCAGACACACAAGCACAGAATGGCGGAGCCGAACGCTCAGGGAGTGTGATAAAGTTGAAGGCGAGAGCGATGAAGATGGCTGCTTGCTTTCCGCACTACCTTTGGGTAGAGATCTTCAAGGCCGCAGTCCATCTGTTTAACAGAACGGCGAGAAGGAGTCTCAACTAGCAGACTCCGTACGAAGTTTTCCACACAGCTGTCGCGCGCATCTCAGGCAACAAGACCGGATTAAAGAAGCCCAAGCTGCACCACCTGCGCAACTATGGTAGCCGAGCGTATGCGATGACGCCAGACGCCCTCAAGAAGGAGAACAGACTAATGATGTTGAAGCCAAATGCCTGGATAGGCTACTTTATCGGCTACGATAGTACTAATATCTACAGGATCTGGAATCTTAAGACTAATAAAGTGATTAGAACTCGAGATGTGACTTTTGACGAAGACAATCTCTTTGACGGCGATATTAGCAAGTTCAAGGACGATCTCTGCGAAGTCACACTCCCGCAGATGTACCAGATCTTAGAGGACTGCGAAGTCCAAGAAGAAGAAGCAGACTCTCCTGCAGCGATATTTACACAGCACGACTTCCAAACTCAAGAAGAAGATGAGGAAGAGCTGATCCTTGACGAGATCGTCGTTCGAACATTAGTACAGAGGAGTCAAGATTTACAGCAAGTAGTCGAAGTTGAGCACGCACACTCTGGAACCTCCGTAGTTGAGAATGAGTGCCATCTATCTGAAACCTTTGAATCCGAGGCAGACATCTCTGAACTTATAGAGGCAGAGTCTACAAAAGAAGTGGAGATGGAACGCGAGAACGAGTACGAGACTGGCCCCCTCTACTCAGCTTATTGCGCAAGCCAACTCCTACCACCTGGATCAAATCAACCACACGCAACGGATCTGTCAGCGGCAGCCTTCACAACGATAGAGCTCAGTGAACAAGATACACACGCGATGCCTCAAGGCGAGACCTGGAGAGCAGCGTTCAACGCAGGCAGAGCAGCCACAACCATTGGAGATCACCACGGCGAGGAAGTCAGTCGATGGCATCTCTATAAAGAGTTAAACCATCTGCGACTTAGCCTACGAAGGCGTAGGCAACTGGCACGCTGCGAGGTAGCCATGATGGCTGAGACTAACGCGAAGAACCATCCCACTACAATTAAACCAAGAGCTAACGGCAAGTATCACAGGCGAGATCTGCCACCTGCACCAATTAGTTTTGGTCGTATGTGCGCACACCCACTCGAGATCTGGTTCCGAGCCGCCATAGCCGACCATTTGCAGAGCCATCACGAAATGCAGTCGTTTGAAGAGGTCCACGTCGCCTCTACCAAGGGCGAGCAGATCCTCGATTGCAAGTGGGTTTATACCTACAAGTTCGACAAAGACGGGTACCTCATCAAGACGAAGGCACGGGTTGTCGTACGTGGAGACCAACAAGCGAGAGGAGACGTAGAGAATACGTACGCCTCGACCCTAGCCGGCAGATCATTCCGCACCCTCATGGCGATAGCAGCACGATTTGACTTCGAACTGATCCAGTACGACGTTGTAAACGCTTTCGTTCACGCCAAAATGCCATACGATGTGTATATGCGGATGCCGTACGGGTTCGAGCGGCAAGACCGAGTCCTCAAGCTCAACAAGGCCCTCTATGGATTGAGAGAGTCACCACTCCTACGGCAGAAGTTATTCAACCAGGCGCTCAGAGAGGCTGGCCGCGAGCCAGTCAAGCACGAGCCGTGCTGCTGGGTTCGAAACGGAGTCATCATCTTCTTCTATGTTGATGATATCGTGGTTGCGTTCAGAGAAGAGAAGAGAGCCGAGGCGACCAATCTCGTGGTACACCTACGCAGTCGGTTCGCGCTCCAAGGAGGAGACGAAGTCCAGTGGTTCCTCGGAGTCGCAGTAATCCGAGACAGAGTCAACAGGACCATCTACCTCTCACAAGCTGAATACATACGCAAGATGGAGAGATTCCTCGTCAATAGAACCGACCGCAGGGTACACAAGACACCGATGGCGGCCGGAGAACTCCTCGCATTCTTAGGAGCGGCATCACGCTAAGAGACCTAACACTACCAAAGAATCGTCGGAACCGTTCTGTACGCCGCAGTAATCACCAGACCAGACGTAGCATTTGCAGCCTCTCGGCTCGCAAGGCACAACCTCAACCCAGGTCCACTGCACCTCAAAGCGGCGGAGCGAGTAGTCGAATACCTCTTAGTAACGGCAAACCACGCCCTCAAGATTGCAGTTGGCGACAGTCTCGATACCTGGACCGATGCCTCATTCGCCGATAACACCGTAGATCGCCGCAGCTCACAAGGTTACGTGACAACGCTGTTCGGAGGAGCAGTAGGATGGAAAGCCAACAAGCAGGACACAGTAACAACCTCGACAACCATAGCGGAACTGATGGTACTATCGCAAGGCACGAAGGAATCGCTCTATTCGCTACGATTGATCCAGGAGATCGGAGTCCAACTCGACGAACGGCATGTCTAGATCTGGTGTGACAACACGCAAACTATCTGACTCGTCACCCAAGACGTGGCGATCTTCACTACCAAGTTGAGGCACGTGGATATCCACAATCACTGGCTACGCGAGAGAATCGAGAGACGTGAGGTACGAGTGGATTACGTGCCAACGAAGGAGCAAGTTGCAGATGGCCTCACGAAGGCGCTGGCAGAGCCAGACTTTGAGCGTTTCAGAGAGCTAATTGGAGTGGTGGACATCTCTGAACCACTACAACGGCGGCAGGCCACGCTGAGGAGGATCAGTAACGAAGATGTGCAAGCTTTGGAAGACTTGATCAAAGGAGGAGAAGCAGAGTTGCCTGTTCTGGAAGTCTGAATAGCCTCAATAGGTCCAGCCAACCGCCTAGCAACGGCATTTAGCTAAGGGGGTGTGTCAGATTAGCCACATGCCAAGCCACGTGGTTGAC